ACAATGTTGTGCAAGTTAAAAATTTTCATAACATGGAATATTCCAGGGATTGCATAGGGAACGGCGGAACTATGGATTGGCCAGTCAACAGCCCCGACTTAATGGATTTTTTCTTTTGGGGACGCATAAAAAATCACGTGCACAGAACTCCTTGTACTAATGTCGCGGAACTTCGGCAAAGGATTTCAGAGGATTTAAGAGACAATCCGACAGTCACTAAATGCATGACTTCATTCAATTAGAGTGTATGAGAAATGTGTTCAGCAAAATGGTGGTCACATGCAGCAGTATTTACAATAGTTAAAGAATTTTTTACTTTAGTGAGTTTTGTCATTTTTAGTGTTTTTGTTCTACTTTAATTTGTAAATAATTATTGTTATTGCAGTCAGTCACGGCACTCTTTGAAAATATATAAAAAATTTTTCTTTTTTCCGATTTGTCAAAAACGAGTGGACTAAAATAGATATTCTATTAAACGCATATATAATATATAGGGTCTCCCCTTAAAAAATATATGATGTAGGCTTATATGTCAGAAAATTGATAGTGTTTTGCTTCATACGTCACTTGGAAACTAACCCTACATTTCGTTTTTTGTTTACCTTGATATCTCTAAAAACAAAATAGTTACAGCCAATTAAAGGTTCAAAACTCCTGTCTAAGGCTAATTTATGGCGTAAGGAGGACAGTTCATATCTCCCCGTACCTTGCGGCGTCGGGTTGGCACCTTCGATGCAAATTACGAATGAGTTCTCTTTATTTCAACATTCTTAAAACAAAATTACCTTTTTATGTTTACAGAAAAATTACTCTTAACATATCAATACACAATTTGAATCTGCGTGGAAGACACCGACCAGTTATACGCCGTCACCGCAAAGAATTATTTAAAAGATCATATTCCTATAATTTTGCATTAACTCTATTACTAATTTTAATATTAATCAGTCCAATTCAACGTTTAGGAATAATTTCAAAAAGCAGTTGTTACGTACGCAATACGTAATATTAAGCTCTTCTACAAAACATGTGCCCCTTTCCTTTCCTTCCCCCTCCATTTCTTCTCTTTTCTTTAGAATTATGTGTATGTACGATTGGCACGTTCAAATAAATTCTATGAAATTTTTTATTATTATATTTTCGCTGTTAAATTGAAGCCTGAACAGTATCTAGAACTTCTAGATGGCTGCCCTAACAAGGCCTATTGTTGACCATTATTTCACTTATTTAACTTTGGTTATGTAATTATTTCTATGTAACTTTGATGGTTATAACAATAAATGTATTATTATTATTATTATTAAAAATGTTATCAAGATAAATTGAACGCACGGTACATCTACATCGATACGCCTACGATGCTTTATTTCGGTTTAATAAATTCAGTTTTGTTCCAACTTTAAATTGAATTCAAAACTGTTCACGTCCCGACAAAACTTAATCCCAGTTCTGTGTTGACTCACTTATTTAACGTTAGTGTATACATTCGAGTGTAATATTAGAAAACTTAAACAAGCCAATTAACAGGGGATTAAAGATGTAATTGCATGTTACTATAAAATCATCTTATTATTGGTCCAAACTACTCGAGTGTTTGCATAAACTTGAGTCTAATTTCCGACTCAATAGTATCGTGACATGCTTGGTGACAAAACTATGTGACTATATATCTATCATTTGTTCTTTAATTTCAAATGGCATTAAGTAATATTCTATATTTGCACCCCAAAAATTGTTTTTTTCAATACGTAAAGTAATTTTCAAAGTAGTTCGACGCTACGTTGTTGGTGCCATTTGTTTCCAGAATAGTCTTGGATTTTACTAACTACATTTTTTTTTAACTTACTCCCAAGTTTATATACCGATCTCAAAATATAACCTTTTTGAATTCTTTCATAATTTAACACAAAAACTATTATTTTGGGATGATGCAAATAAAATGAGATAAAATAACACACAATAAATGCATAAATACTGCGAAATCAAGCATAAATATTGGAAAAGTTAAAATAAATCCAGAAATATTATAAATAATTCGTAATGAACAAAAGTTCTAGGTTTTTGTAAGAACTGTCAGAAAAAATAATAATATATATGGTGATTAATCTCTTTTTACGAAAATATAGCAAACATAGACGTCATACGTATTGTTAGCAGTTGTGCTTCAGTTATTCGTACAGAGTTTGTCGTTTGGTATGGAGAACTATGCGATATGCATTTGTTTTGTAACAGCCTTGAACGTCCAATTAGGAAAAGAAAAAACTACGATAACCGCAATACCTATGTTCGCGCACATACATTCAGTATACGTGTGCAGTACTTTTCACCATAAAGCGGTTCCAGTGTACCCACTAGACAGCGACATTTACGATTCATTACCTTAGCATGACAAACTCAGATCGTTAAACACACCAATTTTCTACCAATAAAATCGTTTTGTTGTTCAACAGACTGGTCGGGTTCATTCAACGTTTCAATGACGTCCGTATTGACGACGGATGTTTTTTTTAACTCGTTCCTTTTTAAATTTTAATTTTTGGATCACTGCTGGATATTAGAAACCAATCTTCGAAGCTACATATCGCCAAAACGACAGATATGTGAACGGGGATTTTTAATTCTTTTTTAGTGTGGTCTATCCAGTCGATACATTTCATGCAGATTTTAACCAGATGGTGCTTGAAACCAATTCGTTATTAAGCTATTAAGATACTAATTGTTTCCGAAATTTTGATTTTGAAAATACCCTGCTACAATGTATATTAGTGTATTCTGAGTAATATTCATCGACAAATTTACCAGATATCCCGAATTACGTATTAGACTTTGGCGAAAACGGGACAAAATTGATCATTTGCCAAACGAGTGAAATACCAATGAAATAGAATTGCACAAATACAGATAACCATTTTATCTCGAACATTATTTCCTGCGGGGATTAACGGGCAAATACCACCTCGGTTAATTTTATTAGCGATAATGATTTTGCAGTATTTGTGAATTTACCCCCTCCAAACGAGAAAAATCTCGATGATTCACTCCCGATGTCATTGATTGTATTGGAAAGGCGGGATCGTTTCCGCTATATTGTGGAACATGCTCGTATTTAGGAAATATGCTAATTCATGATTGAATGCGCTTTGGTACCAAGTGTATTCTTATTTTAAATAGATCCTCACTAGGCGAACAGTTTCGTAAATTCTTCTGTTCAAATTTCTGGATGATTGACAACAACAAAAAAGCAAAACGCAAAAAGTCCTCGAAATAAAACAAAACCAAAAATACGCAGACAAAGCAATTAGATAATAAATTCGTGATTATCATAAAATGTAGTTGAAAAAACTAAAAATGACTAATATTGCAAAAAAATCAGGTTGTTAATTAATGATCACTGATGACTTAATGATGATAAATTAAGGACGTTCTACGACTTTTTAATGTCGACCTGTCAAATTTTTCCAGGTTTTTTAGATAACTAAAAACCTTGGGCAATTCATTGTATTCATTTTACTATACCGCCAGGAATGGTTAAATAATTTTTCCAATATTTTAATTGACGATGACGCTCGGCGGCCTACAGGAATTTTCAACTGGCTCGTGTTCGAGTGTGCTATTACACGCGCTAGTGCGTAAGCAAATATTTTTCGGATAAGGAACGCACCGAACCAACAATGGTCGTCACAAGCTCTAATTACGTCATACGTTGTTTAATTCATTGTTGCGTCTGATGTTCACGCGTGTGTGTTAAAATCCGAAACGAAATATTCGCCCCTTGGAGTTCTTTGTTTTTCAAAAATCGTCAAAACTCAATTGAACTAAGTTTCCTCGTGCCGCAGTACACTCTTAAACTAACGATCATGTTCTCGGGCCGTGCAAAAACAAACTCGACTGATAAAGGGTACTTAGTTCTTTATCGTTATGATAATGGCTTTATAATAACTAGTTAATTGCACTCGATTTAAGCGAGCTAGATAGAAACTAAAAATAATCATGACAGGTCCGATGTATCTTTATTTTTTCAAAATTTTCTATCAAACTTATTACCAGATACAAGTCAACTTATTACCGGCTACAAGTCAAACTACATCACCTGGCCACTTTTGTGATGGAATAAAACAAAACGTAATCAATAAGTGATAAATGTGAATTAAATGAAATGAAATGTGATTGTGCGAATTGATGTCTTTTCCGAAACTTTTCGCACAGTAAAAATAACCACGGCCTACTAGATAACCATTTGGATACAGTTTCAACTAATATATTTATAAAAGCGGAGAACGAAATATTACAGACATAAATATCAGAATAAATTCACTGAAAATATGAAATAATATTAAGCGCGTACGTATATACTTCTATTGTTAAAAAATATATATTTTCGAAGCAAAAAAATATTAAGGAGCCAAGGCAAACGTCTTCGTATAGGAAAAGTTGTATTATAGTCCCCAAAACATTGAACAAAAAAACACGAGTTTAGCCGCCCCCGTGCAATATTTTTTGCAACCTGCCTTCGAAATGTCAGCCCGGAGAATTGCCAAAAAGATCAACCCAGATTCGTATCCCACCTTCTTCCAATAAAAACTCACAAGACTGTCACTTTCCCAGACGACTCCGAAAGGTTGGTATATGTCAAATTCATAGCCCACTGAACATTTTTGGTTACCATTGCATTTTAGAGCTGACGTTCTATCTTTGAAAATACCCATACATTTTTATAATCGGTTTTTTATTATTAACTTAAATTTTAATTAGACACCCTTTACCTGATTTCGGTGAAAATTGGCAGGGTTATTTCAAGTGATGAGGGTCTAATTTAGCGTTCAAGCTTTAAGTCGTGGTTCAAGTTATCCAGTCCAGTGGCGTGTCGGGAAGTTTTTTTATCGAAACGAAACAAATATTGGTTTCTAGTTAACAAGAAATGAATCCGAGAAAGTCTTATCACCCTAAAGCTAGATTAAAAGACGTTTAGATCAAAAAAAAAAAGAAACTACCAAAAAATGCCGGCAAGCAAAGACGAACTCATTTTACACCAATTTATTGAAATTTATCACAATTATTATAACTGCATTCAGCTAATTTTACTAGATGATTAAGTCAAAATCAACATTAAAAATAATGAAAACGTAACTTGAGCAACAAAATCGAACTGCAACCTTAACATCTCACGGGAAAAATCGCACGGTTTTGTATAGGGAAAGTTGGTGTCGCGCGCGAAAGAAAAGTATCAACATTTTCCAATAATGCGACGGCAAAAAGGCCTCCGCAGTTTATTATAATATGCTACAATGACGTATTTGTTACATTGCGCATAAAATAATTTAGCAAATTTGAAACAAAGCAAGAAATGTAACTCGATAACGCTCTGACAATGTCGCAAAATAGGATAACAATTATTGTCCGACATTAAATTAGCGTCAATTTACAACTCGACAAAATCCACGCTCGTTTCTTAATGTCGTTGCGTTACCATGCAAAAAGATTATTCGCGTCATGAACAAAACCGTCGACAATTTCATATTTAAAATTATTGTAAGCGATTACAGACACGAAATATAAAAAAAGAATACCTTTGATTTACAAAGTTGCTTGAAAAACGTCCATAACAAATATAAATCCGTGCGTTCTAATTTATGTTTTAAATTAGGTAGCCAAAAGACGGACTTTGCGCAAATTTATATATCTGTAAACTGTGAGTGTAGTATATAGAACAAATTTTAAATAAATGCACAACAGGTACCTGTTAAATCGTCTGGTTAGGCGTTTCGCGTATCATGTAAACCGCAATTTAATTGGTTCCTGTATGTGCGGCTAATATATCAAAACAATTAGCGTAGAACAATATGTACATATCTATATACTAACATAATCAAGGGGCACGGAAAAATGTTTACCGAAATTCACAAGATTTTTTACTTCTACCAGTAGCAACACAGTTAAAACTGTTGCGTTTTTCTAGGGACCTATTAAACAAATCAGATCATCGAATTCAATTATACTTAAACAAATAAATACAAAGTTGATCGAATAATTTTTTAGTTGTACTTTTCCTTACAAGTAGGTATGTAGTAGGTGTAATATACTGGACTTTTAAAATTCTCTCTGATTAGAATATATAGTTACTTTTAAACTTTGAACTAAGCAATAAAAAGATAACAACAAAATTGACTAGGATTTCTACGATTCCATAATAAAACTCACCTTGATACCTCATTGGTTTCTTCAATGGAAGGCCTTCAACCTTCACCAAAAATACAAAAAAAAACGAACTATTTTCAAAAATTCAAAAGATTAAAAAATACTTCCTGCACAAAAAACATGTTTTTTATTTTCCCAATTTGATTTACCGAATGTTACTTAAATTTGCATAGAATTATAACCCAAACGTTTCAAGGGAGTGCTCCGCCAAGTCGGTGTCAACGGTCGGTTCGGGCAGTTAGAATAATTCAAATAGCGACTGACGTAAAACGCGCTTACGTTAAATTTCATTAAATTGTTGCAAAACGGCAACGTTCACAGCGAGGAAATAATCTATGAAAGTACGGCAAAATCTCGTTTCATACAAAGTCTAGCAAAGTTTTCGAAAATGAAAAACGTATGCGGACAGTTTTTTTTAATCTTTTGATTGGAAAACATAATTATCTCCAATTATACCTCGTCGGGTATCCGTTACCTCCTATTTCATATTAGAAAACATTCCACGAAAAGGTCTGCATACAATGACCTTGTATTTAAAATATTATATTCACTCGGATGCTTTGCTCTGATGCAAATGAAAAAAAAACACAGAAGTAAAAAGCGCGTACTGAGACGGACTTAATGATAATGGTTACCAATGCTTACTAATTCATCGAAATCTATAAATTGGATCCTCTGCATTGGAACGACCAACATTAACTTGATGCGCTATTTAATGTAAATAGTGCTATGTGCTATCAGCTATTATACAATATATACATTAAGGTCTAATAAATAATAGATAAAATATACACTAAATATCTCCATCACAAATCCTGACATTAGCTTTCTACCATAAATTTTTCAAACAGTTATCGATCGGAGCAGACCTATTGTTTTCCGACAATGCCAAATAGAAAATTTAAATTTAAATATATATGTTATAAATATCACTGGAATAAAGCTAATATACCCAATACGAAAGCTCAAACTGCAATTGGTATGACAGGTGGATCTCTACTTTTTTTTTTCACTGACACCACTAAACAATAGAACTGTTCAGACTCCCATCTGTACTATGCAGAGGGACCAATCATTAAGCACAGGGCGATTTGGAAGAGCCATGGCAAACGGCAGTCTATCATTAGCCTGAGAGTGTGGCAAGGCTACTTACACGCAGAATTCAATAATCCCTTAAAATTCCGCAAACTCTTTAGCGCATTTCTCGGTAGATGATATGCGAAGGGCCTCTTCTTCATAGTCGTCAAAGTTGCTGGTATCTCCGGGGCCCTTACATCTAGGAATAAACGGCGCCTCGATTTTCTTTTGAAAAATGGCAATCCAATCTGTTGACTGGAACCATTTATGGTTTTTAATGTCGTTCACACCTGCTTTAAGGTTGCCATATCGTTTAGTCAAATCCACTTGCAAAAGGTTTCGCAGCAAATCCTTCAGGTCAGAACCAAAGTGGGATGGAAAACGCACCTTGCCAGAAACAATCTTCTCATAAATTTGTATAGGCTGGTCTGCGAAGAAAGGAGGGTAGCCCGCAGCCATTTCATACACCAATACACCCAAGGCCCACCAATCGACTGCCTTATTGTATCCCTTGCTCAGGATAATTTCGGGTGCTAAATACTCGGGTGTCCCGCACAAGGTCCAAGTACGACCTTTAACCCTCTTAGCAAAACCAAAATCGGTAACCTTAAGGTATCCTTGAGAATCTATCAACAGGTTCTCAGGTTTCAGATCTCTGTATATCAGATCTAAGTAATGAAGGTATTCAAAAGCAAGGACAATCTGAGCGGCATAAAATCTGGAATGGGGTTCAGAGAACCGACCAACTTTCCGCAGATGAGAAAACATTTCACCACCAGGCACATATTCAAGTACCATGTACAGGTTTGAATTGTCTTTAAAATGAAACCTGAGGCTCACAAGAAAAGGAAAACTGATCGCTTGCAAAATTCTCTTCTCATTCAAAGTATGTTCCACTTGTTTTAGTTTTACCACTTTTTGTTTGTCGAGTATTTTCATCGCATAGTATTCTTTGGTGGGTTTATGTTGTACTATCATCACCCTACCGAATGATCCGGTGCCTAATGTTTTAATTCGGTCGAAATCGTCGAGCGATGCGGTGTTCGTGGGATTTTTCTTCCACTTTTCCTCGAAATCCTCTTTGGCCTGGTCAAGAAATTCCTTGACTGATTCCGCGGAATCGACCTTTTTGTTCGCCGTAGCGGCATTGTTGCCCATGGTTTGCACTTTTAAACCTTCCAGGGCTTCGACTTTAATTTCCACGCTCCGCCTAAAGCACCAAGTTTATTCTCGGTTGCAACAGCGGCGGAGGCAACGAATGTCACAATAATAATAATTGTCCTGTGTCAACACCAACTAAACACTGGCATATTTCCACCTCAACGTCCGTTCCGTTACGTAAAAACAGTCCGTTACACACTAACGGCGAAATTTCGCGGATATTAGCGCGCGATCGACGTAAATTTTCGCGATTTTTTGAGGTGAATTAATGTAAAATGGCCACGACCCTACCTCAAATCCAGATTTTCACTTCATTTGATATTTCATGGCGCAAGTGGAGACAACACGGCGAAAACGGGAATTACTAGCTTTCAATAATAACCGCTGAAAATTGAATGAAAATTTAAATTGACGCGCCATCTACTCACAAATAGACTAAGCTTTACCCCAAGGAAAGCTTTTACTGGACAGTAACCATTTCCAAAGCAGCAAAAATGACTGGAAGGATTTAAGGAAGTAGTCTGATCTTCACGATAAAAAACAAAACAAACCGGCCAAGTACTACCTTATAACCCTCTAATTTTAAAACAGAAAAATATTTCAATAAGAACAGTATACTGCCAAATTGAATTGCGACTTTTTAAATTTATTTACTTAATTTATTTATTCGTTGGTGGCAATTAGGATTTAATATATTTTTAAATTTATTTGCATGAATATCTGACTGTTGTCATATTTGTGTATTATATGTGGCCTACCCGAACAGTCGAGCGTTCTAGATTCTTCACGAAAAATAAATAATGGAAATATTCAAAACGGACGCTTTCATTTCCGGTTATTTAAACCACATTTCCCGCCGTGAAAAAGTATTTTGAGGATTTTTACATTATTTATTGTACAAGAACAAGAGCGCTTTTCCGTTACGAATAAAAAAAGACATTTTTAAGCTTGCTATTAATAAATCAAATTTTTTCCACAATTATTGATGTAAAATTCCGCGTCCGAACACGACGGAAACACTCGACTTCTAGTTACCTTGAAAGCCACGGACCAATCGGATCGTGGCGTTTGCAAACTTCCTAGTTCTCCCGCTCGTTTGTTGGACTTGGTGTCCTCTTTGTCGTTTACCGTTTAGCTTGGTTGGGTGTTGTGGCGTGCTCTGCCGAAAGATTTGCAGTTTTTTGCGAAAAAAACAGGTTTACGTAAAAAAAATCTGTTGAAAAATGGCCGATACCGAGGCACAAAAAAAGTAAGCTCCAACTTTCATATAGCACTTGCGGATTTTAGAAAATACATGGGTTTATTATTTTGGCGGTAACCTATCATCAAAATGGCGGTTAACAAGTTAAAGAAGCCGGTGTTAAGTCGACAGGCGGACAGCGTCGTAGCGTTATAGCGGTGTTTGTTCTAATTTCTTATTATTTGTGTTTAAGTTTTCTTTTTGTTGTAAATTGTTTAATATATTCGTTGCTTTTCATATAAAAAGAGCCTTGGCGCGTTAATTTTAGATGATACCGGTTTATCGGATACCTATAACGGTTTATCACTGTTTTACTGCTCTTATCGTTTGAAAATGTTTACAATCATATTTTTATCGGGTAAATAGGTTTATCCAAAATTAATTTTTGAATCGATGATGCTAAACCGGGGCAATGCTCTAGCTAGCGAATCGTTGGCATCATTTCCCGAGTAGTTTTTTTTTTAATTTTGAGGTTTAATTAACTGTGAATTAGCCGCATTGTTTTTCTTTTTTCCTCTAGCGTGTTAATAAGTCCGTGACCGTGGTTGACTACGAGTTTAATTGGTATTCTTGCTTTTCAGAGTCGAATCAACCATCGAGGAGAAGAAAGTTGAAGAAAAGGAGAAAATTGAAGCTACAAAGGAGGACAAAAAGGAGGAGAATGGAGACAAAGTGGATAAAGATGAAGCAAAGGTAAAAACTCCAGAAAAAGCGGAGAAGAAATCTGAAGACAAAGACTCACCAGTAACAGGTAATTGTTAACTTAGGGCTTTTTAGTTTCTTTGGGGACACATCCCGATGATGTAAGAAAAAAACGCAAGGGCGGGCTTTCCGAACAGTGGTGGTTGCCAAATGTGAAGTTTTTCACATCTCATTTGGAAAGTAGTGGCCCCATGTGCGCAAGATTATGAGAGCTGAGGGATGTGTTGTTTTTGTCATACATTAACTGGCGTGGCAGTGTACAGGGTGTTTTAGATGTAATCTCACTGAGACACATCCCTGCGGTTATAAATATATTTTTGTTGTCAGTACTTGTGTAGATGGCGCTATAAAATTAGTTTGAGATAATTTATTTTCTTGAAAGGAAGAAAAAAATGCAGTCATATTGTAGTTTTAGTTTATTTCATTCAATATCATACCCTAATTTCAACATTTTAATGTAGAATTTACGCCATTATTAATTAATAAATTTGGCGGCAATGAAAGTTTTTAAAATGCTATAAAACATCAAATATACCAAAGCAGCGAGAAGTTCCATAGGAAATTTTGTGGAATATTATTACTTTTGTACATCTTCTTTGTTCGTTTTCATGTTTAATAATAATAATTCAAATTTGAAGAATTTGAAAAAAAATAAAATGTGAAAGTTTTATATTTCTGCCTTTACCACAATTTGATACGAATAAAAAAAAATAGAATACTTTTTTATCCAGCCGTCCTAAGGAGTACTGAATGTAAAAAGGTTCTTTTAGTCCAAATTTCCATACATGTTTGGCTTTAAAACTTTTAAAATGTATACAATAAGAGACAATTTATGAAAAAAAAAAAGGATAGGAAAAACATTTGTCCAGATTTGGCTCCAATTTTCTTACACGCTCCATGCGAAACGCCCTTTATATGCACGTGCTTGTTTCACGGTTCCAGATAAGTGTACGATCAAAAGAAAATCGACTGCTGGTGACGTCACCGACGGTAAAGCGACCAGCGAGTCAACACCAGAGAAAAAAGCAAAAGTAGATGACGCATCGCCCGAAGCAGAATCCAACGGTGACGTTGCGGAGGCTGAAGTTGCCGCGTAACTGTATACACATTCAATTATCGCCAACCTGTATATTGCTAGGGTTCCGGAAAAAGCCTACATGCGCTTGGCAAACCCTAACACTACACAAAAGAAATTTTATAAACGTGACAATTTATTTTTAGAGATTTTGCATTTATTTTAGTTCTCTCTCGTTTGGCATATTATTCTCCGGACAGGTTGATGTTAATATTCGTAAGAGTGGTGTTGTCTGGATAGGTGCCAAAATTTTTAGAGGTGCGATTGTGTACTTACTTATTATTTAAAGATTTAAATAAAAAACAACCCATAATTGACAGTAATTTAAGATACGTAATAAGTAGGGTTCGGAACTTTTCAATGTAGTAAACAACGTTTGCGGTACCACACACACACACATACATGCACACACCGGTCTTTCGTAATCGCAAGCTATAGTGCGTTTCAAATCATAGTAGTTACGTTTACTCAATACAAAAGTGTGGAGAATCTCCAGAAAGCCAGCTCTGCCATTATATCTCACTAACAGGTGTCTAAGTATGTGTTCATATCAAAACAAACTAGTACTAATTTCTTCGAATAGGTTTTTTTTTGTACTAAATCGGTTTTTTGTATCTTGTAAAGTTTGTTGTGGAAAATAACTAACAGTATTTCTACAGTTTTCTCAAAGTGTATCTTGCGTTCCATTCTATACCACATGGTACAAAATATAGATTTGTATTTTATTAATAGAATGGCAATAAAGAGTTAGTTTCCAGTATTATGCTGTTGTTTTATTTTGACCATGTCTAGGAAAGAACGCGCTCTGAAACATCCCCACCAGAGAATTGGAAGAATTAGTTTCAATTAAGCATCAGTAAAGAGTTTATTTTTCAGTCTCAATTTAGTTGTGTAAAAACTTTAATATTAGTGGTGGACTTGAAGTTTTCTACCATCGCATTAGATGTGACGCCAGTTGTGGAATTATTAACCTCAATCAGAATTTGATAGCGCCCTATTTTTCAAAATCAAGGTGCTACAACAATTTACTTTTTATTCGTTTAATAAGAATTTTCTAGTAGGCAAGTCTTCTGGCGAATTTCTAGCAAGTTTGATTTATAAACATTGAGGCAGAATGAATCCAGAAGATGTGTAAATGGTATTACGGTAGTCTGTGGAAGTTTCTTTGAAAAAGAAAAGGAATAGTTAGATTAAATAAAATAAAGTATTTATAAATGTTGTATAATTCAATAAAATCTTTATAACTATTAAGCAAATAATCGGTTAAATATAAAGCAATCAGTAAGTTAAGTCGGCCAGCATTTTCTAGCGGAGTAACCCATGACGTCATAGCTAATTCAAGTTAGACTCGAAAGTAAAAAAAAATATTTCCAACCTGGAATAAGTTAGCCCAGATTTATTTTTTAAATATCAGTTTGCCACTTGGTTGTATGTCTTTGTTGCCACGATAAACTTTGTGTTTACTTATAGGTCTTACGTGTTCTTTTTTTGTCGTTCTTGTCTGTCCATGCTGTCGTTTACAATTTACGAATCTTCTGCATTCCCCTGCATCGGTTCTTTATAAATCAAATTTGCTGATGTTTCGCCAGTCATCCTACCGTAACCTATGGAAGTTTTTTGAAAAATTCATTTCGTCGTTTATTCGTTGGACATCAATTCGACGTCAAATGTAACTTTTTTTATGTCAACTAATACAAGTTGTTTATAACAGTTTATTGACATTTATGCAACGTAAAAAATTGGATCTTTGAAAATTATTTCGCATGTCGTAAGTACAAATTAATTCTCTGAAATCGTAAAAATCTCAAAATATGCAACTCGTCAATGTAAGGTCAAAACATCTTTCAAACGGATGTTTTTCCTAGTAAAGTGAAATGCAACGTTGTGCGCATTATCGAAAACGCAAAGTCCTAAATTTGGGATTTAAAATAAAAGATTCGACTCTATAAATACTGAGCCAAATAAAACATCATTGAAAGAAAATTTTCAAGTAGTTTCCAATTTGTTTTCATTGTGGGAGGCATTTTCATTTTTTGAAAATATCAACTAATAGACCCTTTCCAAAATTACTTACACTTCCATAATGGCGGACCAAATCATTTCGATACTGCTTAAGGGGCACGCACTGCACTTTTACTTTTAATTTGCGGTAATGACAAATGGCGTTGACAAACTAGAAGATATTATTCATAATGGCCGCGAGTATTTTTGACAGTCGTGCCAATTTAACAATCGAAAATTCGTTGACGAACCAAGTGTAACTGCCAACGCTAGACCTTAAACGTGCACGGGGCATAAAGTTTCAACGATAACCTAAATATTTTCATTTTTCTGTACTAAAAACGCGAAAATAAAACACAATAAAACTTCAACATTCAACATTTATTGATTTCATTCGCACACGCGCACTGAAATGCTCACTTTTTTAACGTGCTAACAATTGTACGAGTCAAATTGGCATAAAAATAAATAAAGAATACTTGGTTTCAATAATACGCACTGGTTAAGTACATTTTGTTTCCGGCAATGTCGGCTCCGTAAACAATTAAATTTATAAGTTTGAGTTAAATAAAAAAATATATAATTTTCAAAGTATTGCTTAATCGGTATACCCGATTTGACTCAAACTTACACATTGACCTAATACTATGTTAATGATTCTTATAATGCCATTTAGATCACAAAATTTGCTTTAAATGATCAATGAACGAAAACATGATCAATTTACTATTAGGAAAATAAATAACTGACCTTAAAACGCTAGAATTAGTCTAAAATACCGACGGTTATGCCTTTAGTTTTGTAGGCTCCATGGACCTCATTTTGATGTAGGGCTCTTTAGGCCATGGCCACAGCTGAGGCAGAGAAGGTTCGTAATTATAATTGTATTGTTTGTCCTCAATATATCTTCTCAAATCTTTCGGCTTTGGATACACCGTGGCTATGCCTGCGAAAATGGCGCCTTCATTAAAAATACTCGACAAGGCAACAAAAAAAAAATGGAATGATAAAAGGAGACCCACAAGTCATTCACAAAATGCGCAGAAATCTAAGACAACAATAACTACAGAAAACTAGTAGTACGTGAAGAACGGTTTTTTTTCACACACTAAATATTTTGTTACCATCGTTGAGATCCAGAAAATTGCCTATTTAACTTTAAAAACCGGGAAACCACCAACAAATTTAAGTAACTACCAGCGCATGATCACAGCACTTAACAGAGAACACATCACTTGAATAAAAATAATTTTTACGCGTTATTTATATGTTTTACAACTTGTGGGCTCTCTTTTGGATATAACAATAGGGCTTTGGGTGAAAATTGCGTGACGCTTACGTTCTTGGTAGGCGTGTTCCAAAATCCTGCAGGCGATCTGCAGGGAACACTCCCTGATCACAGACAGTGGCGGGTAAATACTACCCCGCGCTAAATCTTCGTCTCGTACGTTTTCCGCCACGGTTTGGGCTGCGATGAGGAAAAGCTCGTCGCTGATGTGGTTGATTCCGGCGTTCAACACGCCCAAAGCAACGCCCGGAAAAATGTAAGCGTTGTTCCCTTGACCGGGCGTGTACGTTTTATCCCCGAGCGTTACCGGACCGAAAGGAGAGCCGCTCGAGAAGACGCAACGACCCTGCAACACGATTTTACTTCGCACGGGCATAGGGTAAACCAACTCAACAAGGATTTTAGAAAAATTCGCCAGCTTGGCAACGCCGCAAACTAACCAAACCTAACGCAATGAACAAATTTTAGCCGTGGCAATCTCCTCCATAGTCTTTGCGAAATCGGCACTGATAATATCATGTCAGTAAGGAAGTTGGTCGTCCATTGTTGTTGCAATCTTTGGCTAAATATTAATTCGGTAGCAAAAAATTCGTGAATAAGCACAAAAGGCAAAAAAAAACAAAGTTGTAAATTGTAATATTGCTATTTTCTCAATTTCTGTTATTCATGACCAATATAATAGATTTCTCATTTCTTTTTAAAAAGAAAATTTTCAAAAATCTTGAATTTTAACATTTTAGAGAAACACGCCTTATTTTGGCTCTTTGCCCACAACATTTTTATTTCCTGAAATTGCAGAGTAGCGACCCAGGACGGGGTTAGGATATAGTGCAATTAGGCAATTAAGTATCTAGGAGCAGCTTGAAACGATATTTTACTTCCTCCTCTTTTTTTTCTAATCGAAAACTACGATGCAATTTTTGTTCTTTAAATTTAAAAAGAAGAAAAGAATTTCATAAACATTAATGTTAACGGAATTGAAAAACAAAAATTGGCATGGGCAGTCACCTGAAATTTGGGTTTCAACCGTTAACACATGTCATTTCAAATCAACCAATTCGGTGTTCAACAACCAACATGGCTGCTGACAGTTGAAGAGATTCCACGGATTTCAGTTAAATGTTATGGAAAAGCGATTGTGTGAAGATCGATGTTTAGAAAGAAAATAGCGCAAAGTTCAGGCTAGTAGGTGAAATTTAGGAGCGCTGGCGTACGATAATGTTAGAGCCACCTGACGGAAATTAATTTTACGTTATTTACGGCCCCCATACAATAGCTATATGAATGTAAACGAATGCGACAAGAAAAAATGCGATTGTAACTTTTGACAATTTCAAACAATAAATCTACTTGATCAGCAAAAAATACAGTGTAATTTTTCTTTTGGATAGTTCATTTTGGCAACATTTTCGTAAAAATGACTGCAGCGATGGTAAATTATAAAAAATAATAATAAGAGCAATTTCAATGTACAAAATTTGCTTACGTCAGTATGAGTGTACGCCTGTTCAGCAGTGCATTCCGCTTTACTCGTGGGGTTGCTTAGGGCAAAAATGATGGGCCGCTCATTAAAAGTGGCCATCGCTTTCAAGATGTCGGGCGTAAATGCGCCCGCTACCGCAGACGCGCCGATCAAGACCGACGGTTTGATTTCATCGACGAGACCGGCAAAGTCTTTCGTTGGCTCGTGGTTTTTCGCGTAATTGGCCTTGTGTCCCTCCAGATGTCCGGCCGGACGATCTTTGGCCAATAAACCGTCAATATCGACCATCCAAATTTTACCTTGCGCTTCCTCCATCGACAAGCCCTCGACCATCATTGCTAAAACATGAAACTCCTATTCGAATTTTGCATAGTTTAAGTTTTTCATATTTTGATTGCCCCATATAAAATTGTGTTGTGACGCTATTGATCCAGGTATTGCAATGAAAATTTAACCACAGACTATTTGTCTTACAGGTAAGTTTCAAAATAATCGTTTTTGTCTTGTTTGTCTGTAGGTTAACATTTTTCTTCTTGTATTTTTGTGTCTTCTACATAGTTCTTCGATTTGTAAACAACAACAGACTAGAGATTATATTCGCGGTTCGATAGCACAACAAAACGGACATGAAATCTTGAGATAACCCCCGTATCATTGTATATTTAACCCGATTGAGATCATTTGGTCTGAGTTGAAAGAGTTGACGCTGTACGAAAATTTAGTGATGATAACATAATTTGGCAGGAGGTAGCTCAAATATTAGTACAAAGCTGGTCTAACTGTGAAATACGAGTAATAAAAGAAGAAAATATTTATCGAGAACGATTAGTGACGGAGTTAATCATTTAAATAGGTGACGACAGTAGAGATAGGGACGATTTTTTTAAGTGGCTGATACTTGTCAGTGTAGATAGGTAAATTCCTAGGACGGTCCTGGAATGGTTACGCGTAAGGGTCTGCTGGGCAGGGTGTTCTACAAGAGGCTGCGGATTTGAAGTAATAAACAGTAGGCAAAGTTAATCACGGGGTCAGTTGTAAAAACACAATATTTATGGTCATGGTATACAAACATAATAATAGACTTTTGGAACATTTCATCTCCCTCCACTTTACCTTTGACGGTTAAATCCGCAATCCCGATGGCCGCCTCGCCGGCGCCGAGGAACAAGAACTTGTTCTCCGACACCTTTTTCCCGGTAATCCGTTTCGTCGCGAACATCCCCGAAACGGCGACGCTCGCGGTACCCTGAATGTCGTCGTTGAAAGTGCAATAAGTGTCGCGGTATTGGTCCAAAAACCTGAACGCGTTGTGATTTCCAAAATCTTCGAACTGAATCAAAGTGTTCTGACCGTAACGTTTCACCACTCCCTCCATAAATTCGTCGACAAAATCGTCGTACAATTTGCCGGTGACACGTTTTTGACGTAGGCCTACGTACAGGGGGTCCTCCAACAAAGCCTAACGAGAAAAACGATTATACGGGGTGTTGACGAAATGGGGCCGCATAAGAGTCGATACTTTGTTAGCTCAAATTCGGATAAGAAAAGATCACTTTTGACCACCAAATGATTTGAGAATACCTGATTGTTGGTTCCGACGTCGAGGACGATCGGAAGACACTCGTGCGGTTTGATACCAGCCAGGGCGGTATACAAAGCCAGTTTACCGACGGGGATACCCATGCCGCAAGCTCCCAAGTCTCCGAGCCCCAAGATTCGTTCCCCATCGGTGACCACGATAGCCCTGACGTTTGGTTCAGGCCTAAAATATCGCAAGGAATTACCTGGTGGCCCGGCATGACCGCAATCGATTATTATCTAAAGCTAACTGGAACAAATCTGGCACATTATTATTGGATATAAGGTTGGTGGAAAATATAATCAGCTTAGTTTAGCTTACGACGGTGGAATTGATTAGTTACCATTTCGAAGTGATTATCGTAACGCAGTGACTTCAATTTAAACTGGAATGGGCGCGGTAAAGCAGCCGATGTGGATTTTCTGAGGCAAATCTTATTTAGAGGGAAGCGGGTAGTACTCGGTATTATTTACTTTATCATACACGTTCATACTAATGCCAGATATGAGAATGTTTTATATAATTTCTCTACGTGTTTGGGTGGTTTGGGGTTAAACCATTTTTCAAATCATTTCAATCGTTTATCCTTCGAACTTAGTGGTCGCGAGATATTTTAAAATGGCAAATTTGTATGTTGCATATGGCTGCGGTAACAAAATAAACTTAATTTTTTTATAGTAAAGTAAGGTATAAATAAAATACAAAGATATGATTATAAAAACAAATTGTTAATATGTATATAACACTTAGAGATAAATCAGTAGTTTGGTATTCTTTTTGACCTACTAATATAGTTGTCAAAAATTAAAAATATCTTTAAGGGGTTCCTTTGAAGCAATACTGCTGAACAAATAAATTGTTATTTTCGGGCCAATAAATTTCTTTAAAACGTTAACAAATAAATTTTTAAGTAAATCAATTGATCTTATTCAGAGGTTTTCTAAGAATTTACAATTCTAAAAATCTTATTTTTTACAAATATTTAAAGACAAATATTGTTTTTCTTTCCAAGAAACTCCACAGGCTACTGTAATACTATTTATAAATCTACTTGACCTTTCGCTGATCATCCTATTGGCTTTTTCAGAAGATTTGTAAATAGTACAAAAATTGTTTGATCATAACATAACATTTAAATGATTTCGGTAAGAATTATATGTGTAAATAAAGTAATTTAACAACGAGATACCTAGTGTTAGTTAGTTAGTGTTAAATGTAAATGAAAAAATATAAATTTCACGGTATTTTTAAAACAACTCTAGAGATACCCCATTCTCCCATAGAAATGTACAAGAGATAGACGAGCTGCCCCACTGTTATCTGTCTTTTTATACCGCAGTTTGGCTCAGTTTTCTAAAACCTTTAACTGCCGTAACCAAAATAAAGTGTCAAATAAGTGCTCAATAAAGTCCCCAACAATTTGTTAAATTTCTGTTAGAGGTTTTAAGCTATCTACTCAAAAAATCAATAAAATTACCAAAACAATTGACTAAATACCAGTTTTTGAGGACGTCGAAAACATGTCCTATATCGTTAATGGTTATAAAAAGTCCCCTCGGTCTCCTGTAAATCAGGCCGAATTTTTGACAGGCCAGCCCCACCGTGGGAGTGTACACAATAGGCATCAGCGCCTCAATGTTTTCCGTCAACAGGCGGAAAAACAGTTTTTCGTTACGGTCGTGCAGCTCAGTCAGGTAAAGGTATTTGTTCAGGTCCTCTTGGTATCTCTCGATAGATATCCTACAGAGTTCCAATTGCTCCTCTTGGGTTTTAAAACGGGCAGGTTGCAGACCGTGGATGCCGAGTGCCTGCCGTTCTTCCAACGTAAATGCCAATCCCTAATTTAAATAACAGTAATTCGACCAAGCACGATGATAACAAGAACAACGGAAATTAATTAATCAGGCTTTTGTAGGTGAATGTGAACAAGGTGTCTCATCGAAAAGTACGTACGTTATTTGTTGTAAACTTAAAAACTTATATTATAATCGCATATTCTCTACATATTTTCGATTTTCCAGATTTCTGCTGCTTGATGTCGCCGTATTAAAAATCGAAGTACTTCCCGGTGCGTCACTCTGTATACGCCGCGAAAAAATTATTTCCAACGTTATCGCATTAGCACTTGATTAAGTTAATTGCTATCGATTACATTTTCGAGTGTTATACGACAACGCGGGAAAGTTTAATTTTAGATCGCCTCGTCGCCCATGAGCAATAAAACACTTCCTCACTTAAGTTGGAACTGGTTTTAATTAAATAATCCCGTAACGCGGGACGAATGTCAAGGCGTCCAAGCTTACATAACGTATAACGATACATTATACATTTTAACTTAAAATAAAAACACACCAGTTGATGGAATTGTATGGAATTGTCAACTAACTCACCTTATTTAATCTAGGATCTCGAAGGTGATCTATACCCATAACTTGCGAGGGAGTGATGACGTCACCGACAACTTCATGGTATTGCCTCTCACCTTGAATCAATTTTAGCGATTCTCCTAACAAAGCTTTTTTACCGGTCGATCTTGAAAGCCCGGCACTGCAAAAACATTTCTCAACTTTTAAATTTGGGAATAGTTTTGTGGCTCAATTAAATTTTACATAAAATTTAGCCTCCAAATAATCGGCTTTAGTTGGGTGGCAAACTATGTATTCTGGGGTTCATATAATACAGCCAAGAACATAACATAATATAAATCTGTATCCCTAATTAAGAAAAAGTACTGATTTCTACATTTTAACTGTTGATAATTTATCAAGTACAAAACACATTGTACAGATTGTTATCTGCTCCATTTATTGTATTTCAGATATTAACATAAGTTAAACAGTACTGAAATACAAACTTTGATGTAATTGGTATCTGCAATGAATAATAAATATCCTATGTACGCATTTGCCAGATAATTTTAAGTAGTAGCTAAAGGCTAGTAATTACCACACTCCTGTCTCTAGATTAATCACAACGATTTTACTAATAAAAAGGAAATATAAAAAATTTACATTGTTTTTATTTTTGTACTAGGCGAAAACAATGCGCTATGTTAACGTAATTATTCGGCTTACTGTATTCTTTATTTGAAAATTTCAATACGAAAATGTGGATTTTGATGAAAATCAATGGTGGTTTACGATAGTAGTATAATAAAAATATAAACTGCATCAAACGTTACCTACATCACTTTTGGCGCCTGACCAACATCCTAATGTATTTTTAGAAAGAAAATAAAAACAGCAAAAGAATGCAATTCGAAACTGTCTTCACTAACGCGTGCTAGAGGATTAACTACTCCATTTATAGTGTTATGGTTGGTATTTAAAAAGTTTAAAGGCATTTAACAGCAGTAATGAAAAAAAATGTGGATAAAAGTTGGGTACAAAATCTTATTTGCATTGTTCGACTCGTTAATTAAAAGAAAAACACAAGGTAAACCTTTAATTGTTTACTTTTCAATCCGACAAAATATCTACGAGAAAAAGAGGTTATTGATTCCCGATAGAGTATGCCCGCCGAGGTTCAAAATTCAAAATGACTTGAATTAAACCGAGATTCAAAGCGTTATAAATGAAAATGTAACCCTACTCACACCAGGGACCGGGGCACTAGAGCAAACATTTTTCAACGAGACAGCTGATTCTATCAATGCTGTACACTCCCACGACCTTTACAATAAAATAACGAACTGGCGAGCTGCACTCTGTAAAAATCCATCGGTTAAGTAATCAAATTTGCGCAGCTGCGGCCAAAATATGCTTTTCAAAGGTTTTCTAGGTTGGAATGTCCAATTGTACACCGTCTTCTTCAAAAGGAGAATAAGAGATCCATTGAGCGATATAATAAAATTCTTTTAAATTATTCCGTTTTTAAACCTGAAGTACTTTAAACTCATCAAAAATTAACACGGAAACCGTTAGTTCTAAAAAGGAAGCTAAATTTCCAAAGAAATTTATCGCTTAATAATGGCCGATATATCCTAGCAATTTGGGCTAATAGATGTAAAAGATAAGTAGTGTAAATTGGGTATATTACCTTCTTTTTTTTTTATTAAAAGTATGGATTGAATTTATCAGTGTTATGGAAGAATTAGAATCAAGTGAATTAGGAACATTGGAATATTGGGAAAATCGTTATAAAAACGAGATAAAAAATTTTCAAGATCACGGCGATACAGGAGAGATATGGTTCGGGGAAGATATTGCCGATAGAATCGTGCGTTGGTTTATAAAAAATGTGGAACCTGAGGCTAGCATTGTAGATATAGGATGTGGAAATGGCCTTATCCTAATTGAACTTGCCAATGCCGGTTACAAAAACCTAACTGGCTTGGATTATTCAGAAGAAGCAATTAATTTGGCAAATAATATTGCCAAAAAGCGTAACTTGAGTGTGAAATATCATGTTTCTGATGTTTTGAATGGTATCAGGGATAATTATAAAATTATTCATGATAAAGGAACTTATGATGCTATAAGTTTAAGTGAGGGTGCTTCAAGAACCAAGCAAACCTATTTGCAGAATGTGCACAAATGTTTAAATGACTCCGGAAAATTCATAATAACTTCGTGTAACTGGACTGAAAATGAACTAATTGAACAATTTTCAAATTATTTTGTATTAGAAAGCACTGTTCAGACACCACAGTTCAAATTTGGTGGTAAAATTGGTAATGTTGTGTCTATTTGCATTTTCAAAAAAATACCCACTTGAATTGTGTGCGTTCATCAAAAAACACTCTGTTAACAAATTAAAAACATTTATTTTTACACCCACTTGACTAGAAATACAAAATGATGTAAAATAAAAAATAAAAGGTAAAAATACAATTTGGATGGGGCTTTGATTTTTTTTAAAAATAGGTTAATTTATTTTTTTTTCCTCATTGTGCTTATTGGGAATGTTGAAGTTTTCTGTCACCTCAATGACACAGCATCTTGGAAACCAGCCTCTTTGTCGCAACAGAGCTTCTTGGCCCTCTGGAAGATTTTCTTGAATTTTTTCACCAAACAACCAGTGTCTGAAATCAACTATTTAATATGGGATGGGTTCTGCCAGGATTACTTAACTTCCTCCATCGAGTTACATTAACCAGATCGCCACAGTTTAATTTCAGACGTGACTCATCGGTACAAGGATAACTGCAACACACTTTAAATCCATAAAAAATTGGGAACCAGTAACCAGATGCTGGCTTAATAACCCGATATAATCGTGACTTCAATCTTTTTTCTTCCTTTTGTTCAATTTGTTCTATCTATAATAAAATTCCAACTTATATAAATATTGATAACGATCATAGTTTGTACCGTTAAAGTATATTGGTGACAGTCTTTGACAACTGGCCAGTAAATCCCATCACCGATTGGCTGACAACTCAAATTTAACACTTGTTGAATGTTCTGCAATGTTCCTAAGTCATATGGGAAAATAAACATTTGATTGGAATTCATTCTCCTGTAGTTTGCTTTCTCCAATATCCAATCCTCAATTCCCGTTCTATTTCTCCAAATCGATCTTACCTAAAATGAATGCCCACATTATTATTTTAACTAACACGCACATAGTCCTACCAATACCTGGAAGAACAATAACATGCCTACGGCTGCCACTACCCCTATGGCAAATCCTAAAGCCAAAACTGTTAATATCATTCCCCATATACCTAAATATACTATTGGAACGTCAGTCACTCTGTTAAAAATATAATGGTTACGGTGGATGGCTCTGTACAGGGAACAACTTAAGACTATAGAAGCGTGGGCACAGCCTAACGTCGCAAAAAGCAAGAAATATGTAAAGTGTGAGTGGTTGCCCCATCCCACGCAATTGTTGATCCATGGACAATGGTGGTCCATTTTTAACACACACCGCCCACCTAGAAAATCATGATACACACTGTTAAACTAATAATGCCCGAATAACGCTCACATTTGCGGCAGTGATGAGATCTTGGTGCTTTATATCCGTGGCAGACACCACAAAATTGTAAATACTGACAGTCTTGCTTTTCCTTCTGAAAAATAACATTAAACCATCATGTTATGCAGCAATTTAACCCTACCGGCATCCAATTTAACGGTAAGTACCCAGGGCCGTGGTACATGGACGATAGAAAGTTGTAAAGCGTAAGTCCCGATAGGCTCATGAAACATAGCGTATTAAAAAACCCACTTAGAGTAGTGGATGGCCACCACATTCCACTGCAATGGATAGTCATTCCAGTAACAATTTTAATAATTGCTGAAAATGTAATGTTGAAAACTATGACAATCGCCAAAAATAAAAATTACCTATGGCAGTCAGCGGACCCCAATGACAAATTCTGTTACAAGCTGCAAAACACATAGCTAACCTTAACTAAAACTAATTTTAAGGAATATTCAAGTTCGTGGTCAGTACTGGAAGTATGGAAATAAATCATTCCTATTTGAAGAACATCTTCCGGAGCGGTACTACATCATGTTTATATATTAGAATGAAGTGAGGTTAAAAAGATGTTAGGCTCTTGTTATTTGTAAAAAGGAATTTACATTTTGGTATCTAAAAAAGTCATCGAATGGGTCTAAAAAATGTGATAAACAAAAACGTTCTATAATTAAGTTAATTCTTAAAAATCGAAATTTAAAATCACGTGACACTGACTACTAGGGCCGATTGTCAATCCCACCCGGCCATATTAGCTACTCAAAAACAATGACTTCTTCTAACTATCGATAATTCGATACGTAGGAATGTGTTGAACTATCGAAATCGAAATTATTTCTTAATCAAATCTCAAAATTAGTATCTCCGTGTTCAGAGAATAAGTACTGTAACACACTCAAATATAAGTTTTCAAACATTATTGCTATTAATAATAGTCCACTAAGACTGCGGTTGGATGGCATTATTCAAGCTATTAAATTTCTACAATTGCACTATTTTTTATGGCAGCTTCAACCTAAAAGGGCCCAGCCTGTGTGATTACAGTTTAATGGTTACACAAAGTCGAATACATTTTGATTTCTTGAAAACAATGGGGGAATGTACATTGTATTCGTCAGTAAATTAGGCAAATTTATTCGAGCATTTAAAATTCCTATTTTGTAGTCTATAAAAGTATTAAAGGTAAATCAACGACTACCTTCCATTTGACTTTTTTATTGTGTTCGGATCGGGAGTGATTAAGGTGAGTAAATTTTTTTGTCATAAATACGTAGATACCCAATTATTTTAAATTATACTATGTTTTTCTTTTTTACAAGAATAATTATCATCATAAAAATATATAAATTTACCTTTTTATCAAATTTGATTTATCTTCCATGTGAGGAAATAATTTAGGTAATATGGGTATGATATCAAATATGCAATATCTTTAAATAAAAGAAAGAAAAAAAATTTGGGTACATTTTAAGGAGCTGACGGCTATTGACCAGAAAATTATTCACGTTGACCCTCGACCTTCCAACATTTGCATGTGTTTTAGTATATTGCTTTTTAGATCCTGATTTTAATTTGAAATTTCTTCATTGTGGCGCTTGCTAACTAGTCAAAAATAAAGGTTCTTGACATTCTTTATTTAAAAGCATATGTTGTAAAAAACCTGGTGTTACATATCTGATAAAATATAACATAATAATATAAAATTTTATTCCACTTATTTATTGCTTGAATTCGATTATAAACGATATAATTACCTATATAAAAAATACAATATATTTAAATAACACATGGTTCATCACGTAATAAAATTTTCAGCATGAATCCTGAAATGGAATTAGTTAAAGAAGACGTCGTCATCTCAGGAATAGGTGGTTACTTTCCGCAATCCCTGAATATTGAAGAGCTGATGAACAACCTCTTAGAAAACAAAGATCTGGTCACAACCAGATGGCGCCAGGGTAAATTATATTTTCCCATTTTCATTCGTCGAGTATATACCTATGCATATCCGGTTGTCACAATTTCTAGGAGAGAGAGGCGTCACCAACCGCGTCGGAGTCGTACCTACCGAATATTTCGACCACTCATTCTTCGGAATCCATCGACAGCAATGCACCTACATGGATCCCATGCAACGTCTGGCCCTCGAAAGAACCTTCGAAGCGCTGATCGACGCAGGTAAACTCGAAGTAAAAGAAGTTTACGTTTCTGATTCTCCGATTTCTTGTTTGCGATAAAAATAACGATACCTCTAGCAGCAAATTTCTTTAGGTACTGCCCTTATAGAGGCCTAACTGCTAAAATTTCTTTATTATACCTACATAACTAGGTATAATATGTACTATTTTTTGATGGTGTTTTGATATTGTAAAAAAAAGTATAGTCTATAAAGAAATGCTAGCAGTCTTCGTCCTGGTACACGTACCTGACTGATAAACTTTATTATATGTACTTAACTAGGTACTCTGACAAAGAATTTGTCTTAATTCCTAGGAAATTATAAAGAATGTTGTAAATATAATAAGGTAAGTATGTTTGTCAACGGTAAAAGATATTGATAAAAAACTCGTTAGACCAATCGACAAATTTGTCGTTCTGAATCACAACTGACTAAAAATTTTTCTATCCCACTCTTGCGGAATATTATGGTGAGACCTTCCCCAAGGGACCTAATAATTTTTTACTCTAACAGTTGATTGTAAATTTAAAGTTATGAGGTATTGTAAGTATCATAATATTTAAGTCCTAAATTTAATATTTCGATGTGATTCCTTTCAAATATTTCGCGTATTAGTTAAGTGTTGACATTAGATAAAATGCGGAAATTTGTCAGGATCAAGAGGTATTGGGGTAAAATTCGCTGTGGATGTTGCGCGACTTTTTTATAAGTCTTATTACTATACCTACTTACCTACCTATATTAGGTACCGTCAGAGTTCGCGGTTTCAAAAATAACCAAGTATTTTAGGTGTGAACCCCACCGAGGTGAAAGGGAGAAGAATCGGGGTATACATGGCGTCCGCTATCGGAGAGAACGACAACCTCTTTTTGGAATCCATCGTGAGCGGGTTCGGCGTTACCGGACATTCCCGAGCGATGATGCCAAATCGTATTTCCTACTGGTTAAATCTGAAAGGTACGTTAGATCCAAAGACATCCTAAGCCAAACAAATAACAGAACTATTTTTTTTAATATAATTTAAAAAATAATTCAGGAAAAAAATGTATCAAGAATACCAAGGCGCGGTCACAGAACATAAAAGAGAGCCTGGACTATAAAATGCGCGAACAACGCTCGAATAGTAGTCGTAAGAGCGATATGTATGTCAGACCGTAGACATTAAGGGCTCGTTGGATCTCCCTTGGTTAGACCTCAGAAACCATGCCTTTGTCAGGGAACTAGATGTGCATACAATGTTTGCCGCCGACCGTCCAAATTAAATAAGGGTTATTTGGGTTAGAAAATCGCGGAAGGTCGCGACTGAATGCAATTTGATATTGCCGCATAGGCGAAAATTTTTAACGGCATTACACGTAGGTGGCAAATTCTGAAAGTCAACAATAGCGAGTCTAAAAATAGAACTCGTTTAATTTTACCTTAACGTTGACAGCCCCTACGTAATGGATTAGTTGATTAATTTTAGATTCCAATTGATTATTGGGTATAGTAAGCAAAGGGCGGTGTTATGTAACTTTTGGATATCGATATGCTAATTTTGAATAAAAAAAATAAAAATTAATACAGCTATATAGGGATTTGGAAATAATAGTTCTATTCATTGAAATGAATAAAAATTTTATCATACAAGCCTGGAACCCTTAAAATAAAATTAGTAATAAAAAATCTTTCCTTAACCCACTACGATACTCTTGGGAAATAGATTAATTCTGTAGTCAGAATTAAAAGGGGAAATCTTTATCTTTATCATATCATATTAATATATTTAATTTATGTAATAACTTTTATTTATAAAACACAATAATAAACGTTAAAAACAACAATATGTCAAATTATATGTATAATTACTAAAATTGCGGAGAGTTGCGGGTTACTGGTAACTTGTTGCACAAAATAACTACAAGGTATCTCAATAAGTGCTGCTCTAGAGGGAGCAAGATATAAATGCTCATTTACTAGTGGGTGCTTATTGTAAAGTCAAGCATTCGTCCAACTATTGAGGCTGAGTCGGTTACTTAAAATTTATAAGAGGAACATACCATCTCAGAGCAGAAAGTTTTCTGTTTTGTGATTGTATGTTTCCCTTGTACATTTTGGAGTTCACAGTAAGCCTCAATACTTGGACGAAAGCTTGATTTAAAGATAAAAAACCAGTAATAAATGAGCATTTGCGTCTTTCATTTGTTCCCTCTAGAGTAGCGATTAGTGGATGATCCTATAATTAATAAAATATATCACCACCCCTTATTTCACAGACGAATAAGAATCCTAATAGAGGTAGAAAAATTGAGAAATAATATAAACAATATTTTATTGCTGTTATGTACCATTATTATTAGTTACTACCCGTCTCGTTGTAAATAAAATTTGTCCCAGAAAATCCATATTGCGTGTATTGGCGGAACAATTCAAGTTCAATGAATGGAGTTCAGCGATTCTAGTATTCCCCTAGGAAAAGTATTTTATTTAAAGTACGCCCGAAAATTCCAACTTTTTAACGTTTAACGTTGGTGACAAAATGGTAGATCCGCATTATTTTTGCGTCGCTATTTTCTACGGCCTCGTACGCAAGAAAAAATCGGAAAATAAGGCGTCGAGGCGAAGAAAGTAGATAAAGAAACGCAGAATTGACTACATATTGTATGCACCGGCAAATAAACGCGAGATGGTCGCTCTTAAAAATTCAAAAGGTGGGCAAAACGGGGTCAACTTCTCGACGATTTTTCATCTTTTCATAGGTCCGAGCGTCGCTTACGACAGCAACTGGATTGGAGGAATGGAGGTGATACGTCTCGCGTATGAGGCCATCAAAACGGGACAATGTGAATCGGTCATTGTCGGTACCGCCAATTTGGCGCTCAACGCTGAATTTCAGTGGCTTTACAATGACATGGGGCTCCTCTCACCTGATGGATGTACCAGAGCGTTCGACGCCAATGGTATTTATAGCTGTTTGGTGAAACTGGGTTTGGTAAAACGCGACTGTGAAATTAAACATAATAAATTAGTGACATAAAAATTTAATTGATTTTAACACATTGCCTGTGAAATCTTGTTGCTGCATAGGATGAAAGCTACGCTCTGTCTTTGGAATACTTTCGGAAAATGAATGGAAATTTCGTGTGTGTACCCGGTACAAAGTGCCTTTTAAATATAGGTACTTAAATATAAACTTCAAAGTCATGTCCAATTTTGAAAAATTAAAAAATGTACAAGAAATGGAGGTTGTCATATACATTTTTTTAAATTTCTAGCGCATGTCATGTTTGTAACGATTTGTAACGGTCGTTTAGTAACGGCTAATAATTTATGTTTGGTATCAACATTGGCGGCATTTATTTTGCCACTTATCTCGCGCACTCTGTGAAATAGACAAAACCCCAAATACATTATGCGGTCAATAAAGATGTTTAAAACAAATTGCCCTGATTTTCACGGTTTTTTAGTTAGGGCTAATAATTTATTTCCAAAAAGGCAATTTTTAGAGACTATCCCATAGCCTATAATCGTTATACCTGTACCGTGGGTTCAATTTATCTCGATTTTGATGGGCTGTAACTTTTTTGTTTTTAGAGATATCAAGGTAAATAAAAAACAAAATGTAGGTTTAGTAGCCAAATTTTTACCCAATTTACGTATAAAACAAAACACTATCAATTTTCTGACATATAATTTCAAAGAGTGCTCTGACTGACAAATAAAAATTTGTTTATGTTTGACATATTAGTAAACAACGTTGATGGTTGAATAATTGTCCAAGTCATTATTTTTAAAATGGTTTTTCGCGAATTTAGTATACATGAAAGGAGTGATATGCTTCAAGTATACTTTCTGAATAATAAAAGTGCAACCGCAGCTCGTCAGTATATTGGAATTTATCCAGAGCGCCGAGCTCCTTCAAAACAAATATTTCCAAGGCTGGCAAAGAAATTTGCAGAAAACCGTGACCTATTGAATGCTAAAAAGGGATGCCGGAATCATAATGTTTTAAATGAAGAAAATAAGGCAAACATATTAGGATTCTATGAAGCACATCCAGTTTCCTCTATAACTACAGTATATGAAGAGGCAGATGACAGATATTTCTCGGGGATTAATCCAATCAGTTTTGAAAGAACAATGTTAAAGGAGGATGCAGTTTTGTATGGACTTTTTAAATAAACAAAATGAGAATAACAACTTGGTTCACTACAAGAAATCGTTGTAATAGAAAAAATATGCGATATTGCTCTTTAAATATTCCTAGACAAATAAACGAAATATATGGTGTGGTGTCATAGATGGGCATATTTTGGAACCTATATTTATAGATCAAAAGTTAACTGGAGATCATTATTTGCAACTCTTAGAGCACCAAATAGAACAATATATAGAAGATTTAACCCTAAATATATCCGCGCTAATTATATAGCAGCAAGACGGTGCCCCTCCTCACAATGTTGTGCAATTTAAAAATTTTCTTAACATGGAATATTTCAGGGGTTGAATAGGGAACGGCGGAACTATATATTGGCCAGTGAACAGCAGTATTTAGAATAGTTAAATAATTTTTTGCTTTGGTGAGCCTTGTCATTTTTAGTGATTTTGTTCTACTTTAATATTTAAATAAGTATTGTTGTTGCAGTTAGTGCCGTCAATCTTTGAAATTTTATAAAAATGTCCTATTTTTGCCGATTTGTCCAAAACGAGTGGATTAAAATGTAAAGTATGTTACATCGCAATCGAAATAAGATATTCTATTAAACACTTATATAATATACAGGGTGTTCCATTAAAAAATATATGATATAGGCTTGTATATCAGAAAATTGATAGTGTTTTGTTTTATACGTCACTTGAAAAAAAAACTTGGCTAAGAACCCTACTTGTTTTTTATTTATCTTGATATCAAAAAAAGTTACAGCTAATTAAAATGTTATCAAGATAAATTGAACCCACGGTACATGCTGAAAAAATGCACGAAATAAAAATTAAAGCGTCCCGCTTTTTGTGGTTCAAGAATTTTTATGATCGAGAAAATATTTTTTTAAACCAGAATAACACAATTGTTTCAAAAATTAAAAAAAATATTTCCAGGATTTCCCGATTTCTGCAAACCTATACAGATTGCATGTAAGGATAGGCCTTTATCCTGCCTCGAAACTTCAAATCGATAGCTGCAAATTTCGGACACCTCCATTTTTTCAGATAAGGCGAATATCTAGCGCACCCTGTATAATATGAAGAAACCTTAAATACAAAAGCTTTAGCCATGTGAAAGAAACTAAAAATTCCAACATGGTATTTTATTTATGGCGGATATTTATTCCAAGAGCAACTAAATTTTTAGATTTTTCTGAATAACTGGCACACTCTTTGCAATATCGAAAAAATTTCTTTCGCATCTCCTGGTTTAATAATTTTTTAAAGAATTTTTTTTTTAGAAAAATCAGTACTTATTTTCCGGTTCTGCCTAATTTCAACAGTTCATATTTGGGGGCGAAAAGCGTGAAAATCGATGGAAAATTAATGAAAAATAAGGGTCGCCGTGGTCGGGTCGACGCATATTTAGTGTGCGGAATACTAATTTTGCACTTAACAGGATAAAAGTTTTAGCCCTATAGTTCAAACGGCGGAAGAGAAAGTTTCCGAGATCTCCAATTCAGTGAATCCATGTAATCGAATTTATTGATTTTTCGTAAGTAATAATATATTGTATCGTTTTGAATGGATGTAGCCAATGGGTACGCTCGAAGCGACGGCATAGTGGTGCTTTACATCCAGAAGGCCTCCGAAGCGAGACGTGCTTACGCCAGCGTTGTAAACGTGGCCACCCGATTCGATGGTAACCGCGAAGGAACCCTTCTTGACATTAGCGTACCGAACATGGTCGAGTTCATGAACGAATTCTATGACAGATCTTCAGTCAAGCCTGAAGAGGTCGAGTTCATCGAAACGTACGGCTGCGCCAACAAGATCACCGACGAGAAAGAGCTCGACGCATTGGCGCAGGTTTACTGCCGTAACCGTAACGAACCTGTTTTAATCGGATCTGTGAAAACGAACGCCGGTCACAGCGAAGCGTCGGCCGTCATGTTTTCCGTGGCGAAAGTACTCGTCGCCATGGAAACCGGTCAAATTCCCGCCAATATCAATTTCGAGAAGCCTAACCCCAACATTAAGGCCTTGGTCGACGGCAAACTGAAGGTAGTCACGCAGAATACCGAGTGGAAACCTACGTACGCCGCTGTTAACGCGTTAGGGCTCGACTCGTATTACGGACACCTTTTGCTGAAAGCCAATTCGAAGACCAAGACCCAAAAGATGGACGATCTGCCTCGGCTTATTACCGCTTCTACGAGGACCGAAGATGGGATCAAAAGTATCATCGAAAAGGTACGTAAGGGTGCCGGGTCCAAAGCAGCGGGTTCATTCGGAAAGGTTTCAGGTGAAAACAAAAACAGATGATCCTGAATACTTCCACATGGTTCAAGATCTCTTTGCCAAACCTATTATGGGCCACTTGTATCGTGGCTACACAATAGTGGGTGTTCCAGAACCTAAGGAAGAATTCGAGGTATGTCATGATTCGGTGGGGTTGCTTCCCAAATTTATTAGGATTTTGAACTTGGGTTTACTGCTTTTGAAGATCTACCAAACAAAATGGGGATTCAATTTTTGCTTTATCCCAACAATTAATTTTGAATAACATTGAAATAAAATTTTTCTTCATCTTCAGTAGGTTTGCATCAAGAACAATTAATTCTTAAATGATTAATTATAAGTTCCACCAAATCCATTCCAAGCCATTAATTGTTTCGCAAACTGTTTCTGGCGTCTGCTCATTAGTACTAATTGCCTTTCTAGTATCACCAAGGCACCAAGCGCCAGGTGTGGTTCGTATATTCCGGCATGGGCAGTCAGTGGTGCGGTATGGTGAGCGATCTGATGAAGCTGCCGGTATTCGCGGAAGCTATCCGGAAATGTCACGAAATTCTGAAACCGAAGGGCATCGATCTCATGCATATTATTACCACCTCGGACAAAACTATATTCGACAACATCCTCCACTCGTTCGTCGGTATTGCCGCCATACAGATCGGTCTCACGGATTTATTAAAAGCCGTGGGGATTGTACCCGACGGTATTATAGGGCACTCTGTTGGTGAGCTTGGTTGCGCGTACGGCGACGGCTGTTTAACAGCCGAACAGATGATTCTGAGCGCTTATTCCAGAGGAAAGGCTTCAATAGAAGTGAAACTGATTCCCGGAATGATGGCTGCCGTTGGTACGTCGATCGCCGTTTGACAGAACATTTTATCAACTCTAGGTATTACAGGAATGGGTTACCAAGCTATCAAAAACAAAATTCCCTCTACCATAGAAGTAGCCTGTCACAACGGTCCCGACAGTGCGACCTTGTCAGGACCGAAAGCCGACATGGAGAAATACGTCGCCGAGCTGCAAGCTCAGGGAGTGTTTGCCCGATTGGTGAACGTAGCCAACATCGCCTACCACAGCCAGTATATCAGACCAGCCGCCCCCAAGCTACTGGAGTACATGAAAGAAATCATCCCTACCCCGACGCTCCGTTCTTCAAAGTGGGTGTCGACGTCCAACACTGAGGATACGTGGAACGGCGACTTGGCTAAAAATTCATCTGCCGAATACCACACCAACAACCTGCTGAGCGCGGTGTACTTCGAGGAAGGCCTTAAACACATCCCTAAGGATTCTATACTGATAGAAATCGCGCCTCACGGACTACTGCAGGCCATTTTGAAGAGGTCGTTGAAATCGGGCTGTACCAACATACCGCTGACTCAGAGGGGTAGTAAGAGCGGCTTGGAATTTTTGTTGGGGGCAATGGGGAAGTAAGTAATCGTTTTTGAGAACGAAGACTTGAGGGCGTTGATGATTTTTTTCGTATAGAATGTATTTATCCGGATTGGACTTGAACGTGTCTAACATTTACCCGAAAATTGAGTATCCGGTTGGTCGGGGTACACCTTCTTTAGCGCCATTTTCCCATTGGAATCATTCGGAGTTGTGGAGGACCGGGCTCGAGGACAAACTCCACTCTCTCCTTTCAGTCATAGATCTCCAAGTGACGCTCAACAGCGAAGAGTTTAGAGAGTGCGTTGGTCATCAGCTGGACGACACGATTTTGTTGCCATCTAGTTTTTATTTGGTAAGTTGTACAAACTAAACTCAAAGATAAAATTCAACAAGTGTTCTCATCGAATTAACTTTCTAATTATTTAATTTTTGCCGCTATTATATTTCTCATTGTTATCTACGTAGAACATCGCGTACCAACTGATATCCAACATCAGCAGCGGACACAAGGAAATCGTGTTCGAAAACCTCTACTTCCGTAAACCCCTGCGTATCCCGAAAATAGGTTCCGTGCCTTTACACGCGATGGTTCAAAAAGGTAGTGGCGAATTCGAAATCACCTCCAACAAGGAAATATTGATGACGGGTCGGATGACATTTCCTCAAGCGACCGATCAGTTTATGATCGATCCGTACACGGTAGACGTTGCCGATGACAACGTCCGTCTATCTGGCACCGACATCTACAACGAGCTCCAGCACAGAGGTCACAAGTATTCCGGTCAGTTCAAGGCTATCAAATCTCTGGTAATCGCCGAGGAAGGCAGCAAAGCGACGGTGCACTGGAACAAACGGTGGTCGATGCTGATCGAGGCCATGATCCAACAGCAATTGGTGTTAACCGGCGAAAGGAACCAGGATATTCAAATACCCAAAACTATTCAGAAGATCGCGATCGATTTGAAATCCTTGCCGGAGGACAAGTGCGACTTGGAGGTGGACTTTGATTATGCGACCAACGTTGTGTCCACGGATGGTCTGCAATTGATCGGGCTGCAAATGGTTCCGCACGATAAAGAAGAAAAAGCCGTTTACATCGATTCGTTCGAGTACGTGCCGCTGATGGGGAACGTATACACTGTAAGTAACTATTTAAAAATTTGATAAAAGCTAATAGTTAGGTTAACCAGGAATTTTGTATATAAAAGAAAACGTATATTCAATATGACATCCAATCTCTTTTCATGAAAAAAAAAACTGAGTTTTTTAGTGTTTCTTGTGAGAATAGGGATAAAAATAATTTTCTCTTGTGCCATTTGGCCTGCTCTGCAATTATAATCATTTTGTATTAATAACAGAAACAAATACTCTTTACAAAAGTTCTGGATTCCTCCTGCGTCGGTTTTTGCTAACGTTTCGCCAATCATCCTTTTGGCTTCTTCAGAGCTTGACTGAAACTGGCTCGCATTTTACTCGGTACCTGCTTATATATTGTTTGAGGGGGGCGGAGCTAAATAAGGGACATAAACACCGTCTCGGATGACTAATTCCCATATTGGTGACAGGTAGAGACCTGAGTCGCGGTTAAGAGTGTTAGGATGTTTATAGATTTCTATAGACTCTCGGATTTTTCGTTGGAAGAAGAATTGATTACATGCAAGAATGTTAGTTTTATCGAATAAAATGTTATGTCCGTTTTCGTGATTGTGTTCGGCAACAGCTGATGAGTTTATTTGTCTTAATCGTAAGGCTGTTTCGTGTTCTTTGAGTCTAGTAGATATTTATTTTTCGTCCGGTTTCTCCAATGTATTCTTTGCCGCATATGCATGGAATGCTGTAAACTCCTGCCATCGCAAATGGAATTTTATATTTGACGCACCGAAGGTGTTGAGAGATTTTTGGACAAGTGGTAATTCAGGTTTTGAAGTTATACTTCTTTAGAACTTTTGATATATCGTCAGTGATATTTTGAATGTTAAGAAGGACCACAGTGGCAAGTCTAGGATTGCTTTCAGCCTCATTGATATTGGAAGGTTGTGGTGAAGTGTAGTTTTTCATCGAACGCTTAATATCTTTAATGTGGAAATTATTAGAGAGAAGAGCAGAGGCAAGGTTCAGTGACTTGGGACTGAGATAGTTTTACGCCAAGATTGACTGATGATGATGTGAAGATGCATTAAGGTTTCGGTCTGAAAATACAATGACCCACTGTTGGGTCTGATTTTGTATCGAGAGAAATATCTAAGAATGGAAGGTTATTATATTATTAGTTTCCAACTCAATGGTAAAATATATGTTAAGGTGTATAAACTTTAAATGTCTAAGAAAATCTTCTAGGGTTTTTTGACCATGAGGCCAAATAACAAAAGCATTATCGACGTAGGGTTTCCATAATTTTGGTTTTAGATGGAAGGTGTCGAGAGTTTTCTTCTCAAAGGATTCCATAAATATCTTCGCGATGATAGTGGAGAACTCATAGCTGTTCCGGACGTTTGTTCAAAAATTTGACCGTTATAAGAAAAATATGTTCCAGGCAAGCATTTTTCGATTAGGGTAAGAAGGTTTGGTTCCAGATCCTCGGTTTTTAATATATCTGATGATGATGTTGAGAGTTTCAGTAATAGAAACTTTGGTAAAGAGGGATTCTACGTGGAAACCAACTGGAATATCTTGTGTATTTAATGTAATGCTTTTTAATTGTTCAATGAAGTGAAAGGAATTAAGTACGAAATTATCAGTTTTCCCTGTAAGGGGTTTTAATAAGGAAGCTAGAAAATATGTGGGAGAACCATTGGTGCTGACAATAGATCGAAGGGGTTCCCCTGGTTTGTGGATCTTTGGGAGTCATGGGGGGTGACAGATTTTTTTCACTGAGTTTGATTGAGAAGAAGCCTTAATAGCAGATTTAAGGTTGCCATTCATAGATGATGATAGAGCATATTATCCGTCTATAAGAATATCTTGAATCTTCTGTGTCTATGACCACCTTAGCATTTCCTTTATCTGCTTTTAGAATTACGATGTCTGAATTAGATTTTAGAGATTTTAGCGCAACGTGTTCAAGCTTTGCAATATTGGATTTAGGAGGTTTTGATTTTTTAAGGGTTTTTGCTGTTTCAAATTGAATTTCACTGGCTGTTTGAGATGGCAGTTTGTTTAGGATAGACTGGTTTCCTCTTTTGGGATAATCCGTGGTGCAAGGACGAAGTTGGAACCTTTTGAAAGAACTAATTTTTCCGTTTCTGAAAGTTGGTGCCATGATACATTTATTACAGTATTTGTTAATTGGAAAAAGTCTGATGGTTTACCTAATGTTGACGTTACTTTTTCAAATTTCTGAATGTGATTTTGGTAGTAGATACACGAAGATTTAAAGCTTTGTCATGAATCATGTTTGAAAGGGTACCGAACTCGGATGGGGACAAGATGGAAGAAATTTCAAGGTGTAGAGACAGAAGAGCCTTATTGATTTGGTCTATTCTCTTACGGGTATGATGAATTCTTTCTCGAAGTAAAGCGAAGCTAGATTTTTGATTAGCGAAACGTTAGCAAGTTCGACTCAGTAAAAATCGACGCAGGAGGGATCCAGAAGTTTTGTATAAAGTATTACAGTAGTCTGTCGAAGTTTCTTTGAAAAATTAACAGAAACAAATATAGTTGTAATGAAACTTGAATGAAATGAAATGAAAATTAGGTGTCCTGTATTAGTTTTGCCACAGCGGATCCAATTCCGTTGTTAGATTTCTGTTTTTCACAATTTAACAGGCTGCGATAGCCATGATTTCAAACTACGATTTTTGTCTAAAATGGCAACCGAACTTTTCATCTGTGCTCGTTTAATGACGCTGGGTGTCTTGCTCATCCAGACATTTACACAATCGGTAAAATCAATTCGTTGGTAGAAAATGGAAACTGGAATATGCGTCGCCTTGCAACTGATGCTGAACAACTTCCACGACCAGTACATTACTAACATCATGATCACCGAAATTCAAAGCGACAATCTTCTCCAGCAGGGCATCCAATCCGCTTTGAGTCAATACACCAAGCTCAACGTGAGTGAAAACCAATATCTATCGATTTAATTTCGATCCGGAATGTTTTTAGCCCAACGTTTCGATCGCTAAAGACGTCAAGCAAGTAGCGATACAACATTCGTATCCCCTGCTTTTGGTGTTCAACGACCAATTAACGGAAGACATAGCGAAGGTCGTGGCGACGACGCACGCTTTCCTGCTGGTCCAAACTGGGAAAACCATCCTATCCTATCCGGAGCTTGTCACCGTGTCTGAGTTCTCCTACGAAGATGTCAGCTACTCCATTTTGAGGAAGGTAAGCATTTCTCTGCCGAGTTTCGGTATTACTGCAGTCAGACTATTTTTCTAACAAAATATTTAGGCAAACATAACGGAAGTGTCAGTTGTATCGGTAAAAGGTGACGCTCTGAGCATAAAAGACTTAAAAAGGTCAACGGTCTCCTGGGTAAACGAGCTATATGCTTCTGTCGAAGCTGCGTCTTCGCAGCATAAAAGGGTATACTTGGTATCCTCGGTGATACCGACGGAGGGCTTCACGAACTTTGTCGAAGAGCTGAGGTCACAGCAAAACATGGAATGCGTTAGAGTGTTAATTAATCTAGACAAAGCCAAACCGGTAGATGTGAAACAGCTACACAAGCAAGACCTGATACTATCGGTCATCAAAGATGGGAAGGACAACGCCTACCTGGCGATTCCGATCAAGTTCAAAGACCACTTAGCCATGAACAACGCCACGAACAATATTATGAAAAACAAATTCGTAACCCATCTTGGAATTAATTTGAGAGACGAAACGCTGAATCCCGAATTCGAAAAACCCAACGAGTTGGGTGTTCTAGATTACTCCGGCACCTCCAGTAGCGGCCAAAGAGTCATGGGCCTGGCTCATCTGGACAGGGACACTTGTTCCATCATCCCGGACTCTATCTTTACCTTTGACGTGCCGGAAAATTGGACTTTAGAAGACGGAGCCACTATACCGTATGCCTACCTCAGCGTAAGTGATAAACCTTTATCCAAATTGCGAAGCGAAGCAAATGATTAAATGCGGTCAGGCTTTCTACGCGCTGTTCACCAAAGGCCGACTCAAACCGGGGGAGACGGTCCTCGTTCACGCCGGCTGTTCACCGATCGGTTTGGCCGCCATTTCGATCGCTAGCATCAACGGATGTAGCGTTTACGCAACCGTATCCACGGATTATCAACGAGCCTACCTGAAGAAGCAATTTCCAAACGTCAGTATCCCGTGTAGCAGATTTCGGCAATGGTAACGTTCGGTTTCAGCTGAAAGACAGGAACATCCTCAGTTCGGACAACTCGAGCTTCGAACCGCTGCTGATGACGGCCACCGGAGGAAAGGGCGCCGACATCATCGTCAATTGCCTCTCCGGTAGTCTATTGCAATCGTCACTGGCTTGTATCGCCGACTTCGGCCGGTTCATCCATTACGGGAAGCACGACATCGAGGAGAACAACAGTATCGGGATGTATTGCTTCCTGAGGAACACTTCCTTCTACGCCGTAGATTTCTGCGACGTCATCAACCAATCGAGCGAAATCAAGGAAGATTTGAAACAGATGCTTCGGGAGGGCATCGAGAAATTGAGCGTCAGGCCACTGTTTAGGAGAGTGGTGGATCATCAAGACGTAGGCGCGATCTTAAGGTAACATTGGAAAGAGCGGTTGACGCTCGATTACCGAGTGCGTTTTAGGACCATAAAACAGGGCGGTAACTTGGGAAAAGCCGTAATCAACATCGACAACACACTGTCTATGAGTAAACTCAACGTCAAGAAGCCCACCCAGTTCATTTGCGATCCCAAGTCTTCGTATTTGATTTACGGTAAGTTTAACGGAGGGGTTCAAATGGCGTGTATTTCTACGGGGAACCATTCAATCGATATGTTGATACTCTTTTGACGTTAGGTACCACCCACTCGTTTCTTATGTTTGCTAAAAACCACTTGGTGTTTTAACAGAATAAACTACAAGAGTAATTTTTATTTGTATATGGTAAGTGTATCTTTTCATGATGCGTTTCAATTAAGGCAAAATAAACGAAGATGGCATAAGAAATTTTTGAGTAAAACAGTGCCAAAAAAAAACGTTCTAAGGGTGTCGAAATTTATGTCTTCTTATTAACCACGACAATTTGTCATCTATAATGAGATCCAACACTGTTACCGCTAACCTCGAGTTAGGCGGTATTTTCAATTTTTTTTTATCTTCATTTAGGAGAAGATTATTGGCATCGAACCATCTTTCGGCTAGATCTCAAGCAGCATTTGAAGTGTCATACAATGCTGCCGCTAGAGGCAACAAATGTCTTGTCATCCTCAAAGTGGAAACATTTGACGTCATATAATTACTTAAGTTAGTCATGTATACAATGAACAATAGCGGACCCAAAATTGAGCCTTTTGGTACTTCAAATTTTGGTTCCTGGGCGTATAAAAGTTCGTTGTTAAGGAAAACCAGTTGAGATATATTTTCGAGAAATTTTTTGAACACGCAGTCCAAGGCCTTGGACAAATCGCAGAGTGTTATGACACTTTGCAGCCCCGAGTCGAAGCCCTCGACTAAACCCTCCAAGACCCTTAATAGGGCTTTCGTCGTAAAATGTCCAGCCCTAAAACGAAGCTGGTAGTCCTAATGCAACAAATTACATCTTTCAAGAAAATACACCAGTCGGTCCTTTAAATTTCTCTCCGTTATCTTCCCAAATAAAAGAACCATGCTAATACAACGCAATTGTCGGTATTGTTGTCCATTTTTAAATAGCGGTAAAACTTTGTTAATTTTAAATTTAGAAACGCCATTCAGAAAGGTTATTAATCAATAAAGTGAACGGAGGATATCGCTCAATAGTACTTGCTAAGATTTTGAAATTTATATCAAAAATGTCAGTTGATTGTGAATTATTATTATACCTATTCTGCGTCAACGGGATTCATATCAAAGGAACCAGAGAAAGTTGGAGATTTTTTAATCACCTCCTAAGAAACGTTAGAAAAAATAAATGAAAATGCTCTGCAGAGAGAACAACTTCATTTTCATATAACTTATTTTTGTTGCTCTCCGTATTTATTAGTCTCCACGCTACCTTGTTATTTCTTTTTTATATTGTTTAGATAGCAGTTTATCGAACTCTTTATTTCACATTCAGTGTTTTTATCAAAAAGTTTAATCGTTTCTATCTGTTCTCTCATGGGCTTTATCCGTGAACCAATCTACTGTAGGACCCAAATCAAGTTTCATCTTTGGCCGCAACGGAAAACGCTTCCAATAATATTAGTGTAGAAATTTGTCAAATTCTCGCTAAGACAGACGGCGTCAATAAATCATCCATAAAGGGTCTCCAGTTGTGTGATCCAGCACAGATGTTCTCAACCTATGTAAGTCAAGGATGTTGTGTCTTACCAAAATCTTTTATTTTTCTAGCTACTTTTCTCCTATTTGAAGATAAATGATCATTTTTTTCAGAAACACCTTAAATATTAATATGAAATTCACTAAAATGGTTTTAAAAATATTTCTCATTTGTTGTTCTATGCATTAAATACTGTCTTAAACTTTGGGAAGTTAGATCCCATTTGTCAAAGTCTATATGGGTGCTTATCTGATTGAGGCTGGAGCTTTTCTTCCGTGATAAACAAGACGTGAAGAGGTGGAAGAAAAAATGTAAGAATTTAGGACGATCGAGTAATCTTGACCCTATAACTATGGTGCTATAGAATATTGAAGAATACAATAAATGAGGGCTGGAAGTGAACATCAATAAAGCAGAATATATGTGTATAGGAGGCATACAACAAAACCTAACAGGACTAAAGAATAAAAGTATTTTAAGTTTAAAAGTAGCAGAAGACGGAAACATGAATGAAGCAATATCATTACTATGGGATCAGAGAGTATCTCAAAATAGAACAAACAAAAAATTTACAAGTCGAGAGCATTGTTACATATAATGTGAAGGTTGGGTGCCAAAAGAAAGGAATGAGTGAATTCTGAAGGTGACAGAGATGGACTTCTGGAGAAGGGCTGCTGGAAAATCGAAACGGAATAAAATCAGAAATGAAAGAATACGGGAAATAATGGGACTCACACACGTCATAGATGATATAAAAACGAAACAACTGTGGTAATGAAAGACTACCAAAATGAATTCTAAGATGGACTCCTCACAGCAGAAGGAAGAGAGAAAGACCCAGGCGAAGGTGGATAGAAGGAATAAAATCAGAGATGACAGAAAGAGAACTGGACGATGATTTATAGAACGATATGGAAAAATGGCGATTGGGTATCGGAAGACGCCGGAGAGCGTTATAAACCGATATATAAGAAGAGATTGGTCAGAAATTCGTCCCCCTAGATGAACTATTAACTTATCTCTTAATAAAGTTGTATTCACATTTTTGAAGTCTGTCATAACCTCACTTACGTCAAGAAAATGTTCTTCATCAATTTCTTCATATCCTTTACACTTGTCACTAAGATTTTGTCTAATATATTGTCAGTTTTCACTGGTACTTTGCGAAAAACTAACATGTCCAACAGGTCATTTTTGTTTAAACGCGCGGGGCAATTTGCAAGTGCTGCCGCTTCGACCGTAATTTTGAGGATTTTTTTGTTAATTTTCACCGTCCAGGGGGGAGTTCGGAGCAGTGGGCCGACATAACCGAATGGATAGTTCTGCGGGGCGCCAAAAAAATCGTAATATGTTCGGAATCCAAGCCGCAGCAGAATCACCTCAACAGACGTCTGTCGCTGCTCCAAACCTACTTCGGGGTGGACATTATCTTCGCTTCGAGTAGGACGCACGCGCGTGAAGGTGCGACCGAGCTCCTTTCCGAGGTTGACTTCCTCGGCCCCATCCACGCCGTCTTCTTGTTACCTCCCAAGAACAATTCGTCTCGCGTCAGCGACACCAAGCCGGTACAATACATCGACTACGCCCTAAGAACGGCGGCGCCCAAGGCGATCTACGTAAACTTTATCAACTCAGCGGCCGGTATATGCCAACTGAGGGCCGACGCTGGATACACCAGCTACAACGTTCAGTGGTTGAAAGAGTACGAATTCGGCGACGTGCTCGCGAGTCTGGACGACATTTTGACCCTCAGAGTCACGAACGTGCTGGTCATCAACGACAAGAGCGGGGATACCAGACAGGAAAGCGCTCAAGCGTTAGTCAAGAGTAAGTTGGCGTCGCGAGTCTAAATCAGGTCTGACTAGGTTCTTCGCTTAGAGTTGTCTCAGATGCTGCCCGCGTCTCCCGAGGTCGTAGCTGAACGATCCGAGGAAGCCCCCAAGGAGCCGGAAATGATCCAGATCGTGACCGAAGGACCCAGGGAGATGAGGGAGTTGGCTCCGTTGTTTATAATTCCCGGTTTGAATACCGAGAAGGAGGTCGAAGAGCTTGGCAGGCATCTGCTGTTGCCGACGTTTGTTGCCGTGTTGCCGTCGACAGCGACGCCTGTCAAAAAATTGGCGGAGACGTACGCCAAGGTAAGTAGATGTTTCTGAGTATTTAGTGTAGTGTAGAAACGGCTCTGCAGAGATGCAGAGCTCCCAACTAACTAAAATATTGCCTTTTGTCAAGAACAAAATGATAAAAACTGATGATATTTCCCTGGTGAATGATAAACCAACCTATAATCGCGCTATCTATGTTACACACTAGTAACGAGATTTTCTCATCTGAAAGATTACTTAAATATTCATTATCTTAAACAGGTTTACTGCTCCCTCTTTGAATCCCAAATAAATTACGGTATTGTGGTTTGGGGAGGAGTAAGAAACTGTGATTTGGAAGAAGTGAACGTTTTGCAAAAGTGGGTGCTGAAATTAGTATTTAATAAAAATCGGTTATACCCTACTCACATGTTATAAAATGAAACCAGAATACTAGACACCCATCAACTTTATTTCAATAGTGTACTGTTATCCATTAACAGAAGAAAACTTGAAACAATACATAAAAATTATTGTGTAGTGGTCCCAGTGAGGAAAAAACCGTCGAGCGAAGATTATTTAGGTTTCTGGCCCAAAAGTTTTTCAACTACTTACCCAAAAAACTTAAAGACACCGTAAAGGATAAAAATTTCAAAGAAGAGCTAAAGAAAATTTTTGATAATTACGTATAGATTAGAAATTCATTAGGTGTTTGCTAGCGTTATTTGAAAAGTCGTTTTATTCTAAAAAACCCCCATTGTGACTTTGTCTCGATTGTGACCAATATAAACTCAACTGTGACTGTAGTAAAAATGACCTCCTGTCGTTACATTAAGTACGTACTAACAAGCAATAAATATTGCTTTAATGTTGAACACTTTGTTCATTAACATATGTATTATTTTTATTTTAATGAATAAACTTTATTGTGGTTATTACGCGCGCAGGACACCTCGACCCCCGAAATAGTCAAAAACTAAAGCCGTGATTCCAATAGGAGAATTTGGTGCAGTTATCCCTGCGCAACGTCGTGTTGAACGCAAAAACAATAATAATAGAGTGTGCTTCTATTTTTGTGTATTTCTGGTAGTCTTTAATTTAATTAATTTAATTCAATTTAGAGTTAGAAGCAAAAGGCAAGCTATAATCAGATTGAAGAAGCTGGTGTAAGTAGAGAAAAAAGGTATACATGGAAATGTGGGAAAGACGTTTACTCAAAAAAAGAATGGATTTGTGGGTGAAACAAACTAAAATATTGTGTTCTCCGTTTACTTTTTGCCAGCGATAAAGCTTGGACGAACCTCTATCACCGATCTAGAATCTAGATCTTCGAAAATTAAGACACGAAAATTCTGACTCATAACTGTACGGCATTTGTGTTATTATGTGAAAACGTGTTAAAGAATAGATACATTCTTTCAAAAAATTGTAATTGTATTAAATTTTGCGGAGCTTTTGAATTGACATAACGAGAACTTAATTAATTTTTAGGCCGAATTAGGTACAAAAAGTGAGCACCTAAAAAATTCTTCGATATTTAGGGGCACTTTCAAAGAAATTCAGAAAAATTCGTTACGCACTGAAACTTAGGAACTTTCCGTTTTTGGTTCAGATGCAAGAATTGCAGAACACTTTTAATTTTTTTCCACGAGCCGCCACTGGCAGGGTGGGACAACCAAAACTAACCAAACAGGCAAAACCAACTATTGTGTTGTAAGAATATGTCTAATAAATTTTAAAATAAGAATTTTTTAAAGGGAAATTTGTTGCAGTGAAAAAATTATATCAAGCCTGAACTCCTGATTGCTGTTGTTTTTTTGCCGATATTTTTTTGTATGTAATTCTTACTTTTTTAAAACATCTTTTTAATTTTAAGAAACAAACTGTTTATAAGGCTCTTATATAAGTTTTAAATTTAGAATTTGTATTGTAAGAAATACTCATGCAAGGCGTTTCTTTATAATACCTTTCCAGCAAATCCTAGAAATTTGGCCCAAAGGACCATACAATTTGGTAGGCATCTCGTGGGGAGGGGTATTGACTATAGAAATCGCCAAAATTTTGGATAAACTCAACGCGAGTATTCACATCTATTTTATCGACGGTGCTCCAACGACCATCCAGTCCGCCATTAGGCGACTAGGCGATCAACCTAAGGATATGGAAATTAACTTGCTGACTAGGATATTTAACAACACAGAAGCACAGGTAAAGAGTTTCTCTTTTTTTATTAAAACGTAAGAGGATAGGCTACATGCTTCAAATTATATCAAATTTGTTTATAAAAAAAAAATACGCCTATTTACAAATATTCTGGATTCCTGCTGTCTCTGATTGCTTCGACAACACCGTGTCTATAATAAATGTAATATTTACAAACTACCTGCTACTATATACTCCGAAAAATGACCATAAAACCTTAATTAATGTTGTTGTGAGAATTTAAGTTTAATAATGGAGAGGTATTGAAATCTAATTGATAGTTAAGCAATACAGTTGAATGTCTCATTTCTTTAATCTCCATGGCAAAATTGTGGTCAAAAGTGTATTTTTTTTGTGTTTAAGTGTGTAGCATAATTAGAACCTAGACTATTGGATCTACCTGTTTGTCCAATATAAATTTTAGGACAAGATCCGCATTTCAACCTGTAGGCACCTGATTTTTGAGATATTGATTGGGCATTTCGTTTTATCATTTTTAAAAATTTTCCTTTTGTGTTGTTAGTTCTGAAAACTGTTTTTAAACCGCATTTTGACAAATGTTTTAAAACTTTTTCACTGGGTTCGGCTATGTATGTAATTGTTCGTGTTCTGTATTAGGTTTCTGGATTTGTTGGCTGGATTTGTTTTTTATTTATAATTTTATCGATAATGGACGGATTATAGCTGTTGTTCGCTGTAATTAGTTTAATGATATTAAGTTCTTTGTTGTAATTTCCTGTTGAGAGTGGCGTATTAAGAAGTCTGTGTATAAAAGAGTGAAATGCAGCCATTTTGTGTAAGGGTGATTTGAGCTGTTATGTATGACCATAAACCTTCACACACGGACATAGTGTGAAGGTTTATGGTAAATGGAAAAATCTAATTTGTTTTGAGTTTTAGTAATAGTTGAGTCTAAAAAATTTATTTCTTAAAAATCAATAAAACGAAATGCCTAAAATCTTAAAAATTAGGTGTTTACAGGTTGAAGTGCGGATCTTGTCCTAAAATTTATATTGGACAGGTAGATCCTTCAAGAAACGCATTAACGAACATAAAAGAGCGTTTAAATAGTCTAGATTCTAATTATGCTACACACTTAAACAAAGAAAAACACATTTTTGTCGACAATTTTGATACTTTATATACAGCCACAAAAACCAGAAAATTAAATTTATTGGAAGCCCGGAGATTAACAAAATGAGTCGTTCAAATGTATTGGTCAACGATCAATTAGATTTAAATACCTCTCCATTATTAAACTTAAATTCTCACAACATTAATTAAGGTTTTATTGTCATTTTTCGGTACATATAGTCGCAGGTAGTTTATAAATATTACATTTGATAAAGACACGGTGTTGAGAGATTTCCTTAGCCACTTAAATTGTATATACCCTAACTTATATTTTACCATTGAACTAACCAAAACCAATAATAATCTCTCATTCTGAGATATTATTATCAATAGAAAATCAGACCTAACAATTCTGCTTACAGAAAACCTACGACATTGTCATATCAACATCCGGCCCAAAAAACATCGGTTATCAACTCCATTTTTTACAGAACTATCTCAACCCAAGTCACTGAATCTAGAATTAAAACTCCTTATATATGCTCCTCTCTCTAATAATTTCGACGATTAAGCGTTCCACCACTTCACCACCACCTTCCAAAGACAATGAGTCGAAAAGCAACTCTACACTTGCCACTATTGTCCTTCCTTATATTCAAAACATCACTGACCACATATCAAAAGTTTTTACGAAATATAACGTCAATTTTTCGTCTGATTTACCACTTGTCCAAAAATCTCTCAACTTCTTCGGTCCATCAAAAACAAAATTTCGGTTGAGATACCAAGAGTTTACAACATTCCATTCATACAGAGCGACCGGGCGCAATATATGAACCAGTCTCAAATTCTTGCATGCAATCAATTCTTCTACCAACTAAAAGTAGAAGAATCTATAGAAATCTATAAGCAATCTTAGCCGCGACTGAGGTCTTTCTTTACCCTTCACCGATATATATCAGTAATCCGAGATAACGTTCATGCCCCTCCAAGTTCAGTTAAGCTCGGCAGAAACCAACGGGATAACTGGCGAAGCGTCAGCGAGTTTGAGTTGTAAACATTCGACGCAGAAGATTTGTAAATAATATGACAGTAGCCTGTGGTTTCTTTGAAAAATTTACTTTATTACCACCTAAGTTTTAAAAAAATCCGCTGTGAGTTTGTAACTAAAATTCTGCCTCTTTTATCGAACGAAGGTCGTGAAAAAGCTTCAATCACTAAATGATTGGGAAGCCAGAGTGAAATTCCTAATAGATATCTACAGCGGCGATTCCATAGAGAGGAGTTCGCTAGAAAATGGTCTCAACGTATTAAAAAATCGCCTCCGAGATGTGCTGGATTACCAACCAGCCGAAGACTTGGTGTCGGGAACAATCCATTTGGTGAGACCCAACGATTGCAGCGAGTACGACAATTGCGATTTGACTCTGGTAAGTTTAATTTTTTTTGAGTCGTGGTCTGTGGATTATGATTGTTTTCTTATCACATTCCTTACCGTTTTAAGTCAGATAATTTAACAATTTTTGCCGTGGTTGTGGTGGTTCTTTTCTCGTAAAAGAAATTACAGAATATGGATATGGAATTCTTAACTAAATGTGGCTAGTAATGGTTCAAACCAGGTAGAACAGCCTTGTTTGTCGTAGTTGCTTATCGTATATCATTGCTTGCACTAAAATAATACCCATACCTCCTTCAAATCTTTCATAATCTCTTTCAATTAGTAGCAGGCTTTTTTATAAGTCACCGAGGTGACAAATCAACGTCTTACTAAGAGATATTTTCTTGTAATGTTAAAAAATTACGTTTATAAGAAGCATGAGGATTGTTTGGTTGTTTTTTAACTAAAAGTGGGTAGTAATAGTGCAAAATAGCTAAAACACGTCCCCTTTTAGTAGGAAAAGTAGATTTGAAGGTGAAACCCACTTATACCCCCTCCGAAATTATCGTAGCCTCTCAATTACCGTCTACGGTGTCTAAAACCTTGCTAAAAGATTGAAAATCTCCGTGGATGTAGGCACGATCCTTCCCGGTAATAAAATTATCAACATGTGAAAATCGGCAACCCCCTACCGAACAAAATCCTTATTAATAATTGATAGGCCGTAGTCGTAGGTAGGAAAAGTATGGCCGACGTATACGTCGGCGTCCGTGAAAATCGATTTTCCTCTCGCGCGAGTTGGAAAATGAGTTGAACGCGAAAGCAAAAACGTTTCCGATAAAGCGACAATCATTTTCGAGACGCCTCTGGTTTTTTCTGTTGCAGTACTGCAAGCAAACGCCGCAAGTGTTTTTGGTGCACGGCGATCACGTGACCATCATCGACCACAGGGATACCGCCGAGTACATCAACGAAACGTTCCAGTTGATTTAACACATTTTGGTGTACGCCACTGTTTAATAAAATCGAATTTGCGTTTCGTTCTACTCGAAGTGTTTCCTTGCTCCAAAAGGTGGTTGATTTTAAGAATTCATTATCCAAAGTTACTAGAACTAAGAAAGCGAACTTTTTGGGAAATGGTTTGCCCGAAACCAATGGATTTCTTCCCATATTTTATTACAGATTCGCATTCGCTTGTTTCGGCTAGTCAAAACTGTCATCGTCAAATCGAACCTTAAACAGAGATTTTAAGGGTGTATAGTTTTTAAGTGGGACACACTGTATTAAGTTTTTTATTATTTTTTGTGGCTTTTAACCATCAAGTCGATTTATTTTTGACTATCTTTAACTAAATTTACCCAAATTTTGGCGAAGCTTCTAAAGCTTCTGAAAAAAAATTATAATTATTAGAAGAAGAAACAAAAAAAAATGGTTACCTTTTGAGGTGAGGCCCATTATTTGTTTTTTTCTGTGTAAAAAGTGCAAACTTTGTCATTAATTAATATACGATGCGCAAACGCAAGTGAGAGCTGGACGATAAAAATAGGAAGCGCAATACAATCGCGGTAGTATGGACAATAATTTAAAAACGAAAATAGGTACGCGAAAAGTGTCCAACGTGGTGGGCGTCGCCGTCCTAACAGGTCGCGTCGGGCGCGTAGGTTCGCGCGTGCGACAGTGCAGTTCGAACTTTAACGCGAATGCGCTTTTCTTTGTGTGTGTATTCGGGCTTTTCCGAACGCGCGCGCTCTGCCCAGTTTTCCACAGTACAACAAAGCTCGCAAGTCGGTTTGGTTAAAACGGAGAGTGGTGAGTGCTGTCGTCGCGGAACCATTTGACGTCTATTCGGATCCAATGCGGCAAACTCCGAGGTGACCTGACGTGAAAGGTAAAGTCCGCGACGTTTCGGGCGGGTACGACTTTAAAACCCGATTTTTTTTTTGCTAATCGGAAACAGTTTGAAAGTAATTTTAGATGATTTGGTAATCGGTATCGGTTCTGGAGCAGAGAAAAAAAATCGATAATTAAACTTGTTAACAAAGAAATCCGGTAATGTGTGTGTGTAGTTTCGCTAGAGCTTTGGTCGGTACGGCACGGCAGTGGCGTACGGTTTTAGTTAGCATTTTACACTTTCTGCACAAAGCAAATCACTGACTTGCTGGGTTCGATAGATTTTTTTATAAGGATAAATACAAAAAGAAAACTTTGCCGTTCATAAGCTGCTTATGCGATTATATTAACTTTTCCATTTACGATTTTTGGATTTATTATTTATTATTATCGTCCTTTTGAAGCGGCGACGGAAAAAATATGGAGAAAGGCCACTATAAGGTATACAGGGTGTTCGGAAATTCAGTTCGGAAACTTGGAGCAAAGATTCAACGTGGTAAAAAGTGCTTAGGCAGAATCACAAATCCTCAAAAATTATTTACTCTTTACTCTGTCGATAAGTGTTATCGTTTAGCCACAAATTGACTTTTTTATTCTAGGCTCGAATACCCCGCACTTCTAGTGTAAAGAAAGGTGATACTGGATATCCCGATATGAATTTCTGTTACAGAAAAGCAAGTGGAAATGCAGGCCGGCATTACTAACCTGCAGGCACTAAAGTTTAAAGTTTAAAAAGTGAAAAATAGCAAAAGTCAATGCATGTTTAATTTAAGTAACAAAAATAAATTTAATATTTCGGAAAATAAAAAATTGTTAATAACAATCGGGAATTAAACAGTATACAACGTTAATTACAATTCATTTTTAAAATGCCCATCATTCATTTCTAAATATTTTAAAAATTGCCGTTGAACACGAAAAAATACGCCTTTCTAATGATTTCGCAACCATTTATTATTTTTTTTCGTAGATCATTGATATGTGTTATAGATGTTTCATACACTAAAGACTTTAAGTGCCCCCAAAAAGGGAAGTCCATGGGGTTAAGATCTGGTGAGCGAGGCGGCCAAGCTAGAGGTCCGCCACGACCTATCCATCGATGTTCAAATGCCTGATTTAAATACCTTGGTACAGCCAATGTAAAATGGGGTGGAGCGCCATCTTGCATTTTTTGTCTCCACTGCAAGAGTATTTCTTCCAGCAAAGGTGGTAGTTCCTCTTGGAGAAATTGAAAATACATTTCCCTCCTTTAAAGAAATGAGGTCCTATAAGATTATCTTCTATAATTCCAGCCCATACATTTAAAGAAAACCGGCGCTAATGTTTTCCTTCCATTTTGGAATGTTCCACTTGAACCCTTTGAACATGAAAGGGTCAAATATCATTTTCATACAAAACTTTCCAAACTGTAGAACAAGCAATTCTTTCCTGAGCAGCAATTTTTCTCGTACTCGGTACGGGTCAGCCTCTATTTTGAAGTTCTTCTCTTGCAGCGGTTCTTTTATACCTTGGTCTCCCTTTATTCATATTATCAGGTTTGAATGATTCCCTTTCACCAAGTCTTCTGTGTATGTTGATGAATGCCTTAGGAGATGGAACGTTTCTATTTTCCATTCGCTCTTCCGTAGCAAAAATGCATATCACAGTAGCAGATGGATAATAAGCTCTTTTAATAGAAACTATTTTTTAACGGATTGTGACAATAACTTTTTCAAATTCCATTAAATCCTGTTAGGTAAAATCACATTTACAGGTAAAATTCGAAACGAGAATAAAACAGTCGATTTGTGGCTAAACCATAACACTTTTCGACTTAAAACAAGAGTAACAAATTTTGACTACTTGTGATTCTGCTTAAGCCAATCTGTTCAATTTTGTAATATCAGACTAAATATATAAAATACGGGGAAAATAAAAAAAAATGTTCTAGGTAAAGCGCCCTCTAGAGACAGATTTCCTGAACACTTTTATTTTGTAACCACCATTATTTTACCACGATGAATCTTTTCTCCTTTCTCCAACACCCCGTATAACGTCTAATAGGAAAGTGAACCACAGACGACAGGACATCAGTTAAACAAATTGTTTGTCGAGCTCCTCCTCCTAGTCTGATTAGCAAGTATTTCTTGACAATGTACATCACGGAAACAACCGACTTAGGGTAGAATTCATGGAAGCTTTTTCGGGCAAAGAAGGCATTAAAATGTGGCATCATTAATAATTGAATAAATTAGTAATTACATAAATACGATGAATGAATATAAATGGCGATGAATACGACCCTTAGCTCATTTCAAGCAAACATATATTTGCACCTCGGTAGGGAAGAGTGGGGATGATTCGTCATATCGTATGCTTGACGTTTTTTTTGCAGATTTAAGAAGATATTTTGTATTTGTAAATAGAGGCCCTGCCTAATACTGATAATACAGGAACTTATGAAACTATGTAAAACATTTGAAGGTCCAGTCCCAATGCTCAAGCTCGAAATTTAAGGTCTCTTTTTTAACCAACGAACTTGCGGTATTCAACAAACAACATGGTCCCTGACAGATCGTCGATAAGTTTGTTTGCGGCATTTTTACTGCCGTATTTTCTCAAAATATGACCTTCTCCTTCTTCAAGTGCCGTTTTGGCTGCTGCTCTGAACAGATTGGTACTGGAGGTGTTGAACCATTCGCCCAGATTTCTTAACCAGGAATGTCTCCCACTGATTTTCTTCCACTTATTTTTCCTTGCATTATGAGTTGTATTGAGTTATATTTGTTTCCCCGTCGTCACATGTATAGCATTTTCCTCTTTTGAATAGTCACTGCACCCAGAGTTCCAAAGCGTCATGCAAAAATATATGGATATCACTTTTTAGAAAAAAAATGGCATAAAGTGCTGGTTAGTAGCGTGGCAGGAAAATCAGCCTCTTTTCTACATAATTTTTTATCTTAGTAGCGCCAGTATAGTAGCTATATGGGCAAACTAGGCCAAACACTTCAGACGACAGACAGCGGGGTTGATTCACCGCCACATTTGCTTCACATTTTGTTCGAAGAGGTATTAACACACATTTTATATTTGTACCAACAGGGAAGTCTCCACACTAATTTGCTGTATTTTAAATTAAGGGGTGGGTGCTTATTATATAGCTAGCCATAGCCATACCTATCAACAAGCTACGCGCACTACACTATCTTCGATTTATAAGCCTAAAATAGCTTTGTAGTCTTAAGAATTGGAGGCTCTTTGATTATTTACAAACCGAAACAAGGCCAGAGAATAATTACTTTATCAAGGACTAATCAACAATACTCAAGCTTAAATATCAATACTAGCTTAGTTAGAAAGACATTGCAAATTGTCTTTCACTGAACCAGATTTAAGGATTGCAGATTGTGGCTGATGCTTTTTTTTGTTCTCTAACTTACCAAAAAAAAATGTATTTTCAATTGTTGAAGTTATTTGTTTTTATTTATGAAAATTTGTCGTTGCCATTTGTGTTATGTTTTTTTTTTTTACACTTTCAATGCACATTCAATGTCAGCATTATTTTTCTCTTTCCTCGTGCGGTAAAAAGTATTCCCCAGGCGACCATCTCCTATGCGTGGATTTTTCGACACTAACAGAAGTTATTTCATAACATCAAATTGAATTTTCGTGTTTTTAGTTAATTGCAAACCTCAAGGCGCATTTTTTCCCACATTGCTTCTGCTGGAGTGACAGTTGGGGTGCCTTTTTTTACTTAGGGGAAAAGCTGAATAAAACCCTTTCGAAATCATTTTCATATTATTCGGGTTGCCTCAAAAGGGCTAGAAGTCATAAGGTTCGTTTAAAGAAACACTTGCTAAGTGTATAAATACTTGTCTTGATAAGGTTTTGTTAATTCATTCTGTTCATTCGTTTCTGTAGTTTATCTGCAGGATTCACTTTCTTAACTATTTGTTGTGGAGTTTCAAAGATTGTAAATGGGCAGGTTCGATTAAGAAGATATACCGAATTAACATGTGTGGTCGGCGAAGATATTAGGCATCATTTGGTGTATCAATAAAAGACTGGTCAATAATACTGTATTTAATAAAAATGTAAAAATATACAGAGTGCCTCAGAAATGACTGAAGAGTAAAGAATATCAAAAAGCTTTCCAGCTTT